TTTAGCTTTTTTGTGGCTTTCGGCGCATCTATAAGAAGCCGTTGATTTGATTTAAGGAATGTAGAATTTAATGGAATGCATTCGCATCACGGCAAGCACAATGGCTTCATTCTCTCGTTACTTGGACGAGATGGAAACGGCAAAAATCATCCTCGCCACAGCTTTTGTGCACGTGGAGAATTCAGATAATGTTGCGTGGTTTTTACCCGCTGTATCGACGCCGGGATTAACCTCGAGAACATCGCAGTAACATTTGACCGAGGAAAAATTTCAGGGTGCCTTTTAATTAATCAGTACGAGAATGGGTACCAGCATCCAAAATCGATTTTGTCCAAATTCGAATTATGCGTAATGTTAAGCGGAACATTGGATTGTAGGGGACCAAGGTCAAGAATTTTGTATGGGAATCCAGTCAGCAAATACTTAAACTGACTACGAATCTCCACTCGCGGCGCTGCGGACAGAGATGGTAAATGGTGCCGCCAAATTTAAAGTGAAGACATTCAACCAATACAATGGTCAGTGTTTGCATATTTTGAACAACGTAAGTTGACGGTGCATACACGAGCTTGCAACACAAGGACATCCTTGAAATCTCAATAAGTCCACGTCCACTTTTTGGATGGCGCACTACCAACTTCGTGAAAAATGATAACAACATTCTTTTTTTTAATGGCTTACGTGATGCAGCACTTCTCAAAGCTATTAGAATTTTAAACAAGGCGGCTACGGAGAAATTTAGTCTCCGTCAAGATTTAATTGAACTGTGAGCACGAAATCAGATTACAGTTACTCCTCATGCAGCAGGAGACATTTGGAAGGTCGAACAGGATGCTGCCGGTGATAACAAAAAGAATCGCATGTCTTCTGGTGTACATTTTGCCTCTAGACAGGGCTTTAATCAATATTGGCGTGTCGGGGTGAGTCAATGAAGTAACCGTTATCCCCATAGACACAATAGGGGCTGCTATGTCGCCACCTAATCGCTGTTCCATATGCTGCTGGGGCCACATAAGACATCAAGTCCGCTTTCCATTCGTCGTACCTTGTGGGTACTACTAAACAGGGCTACAAGGGTAGGGCAGTTGAAGTGGTCTTGTGCACGAGATCTCTTTCAGTATGCATCAGCCCACTACCGTACTATGATGAGGCTGGGCGACAGCTAAAAGAACCGTATTGCGAGCTCATGGGGAACGAAATTAGGATCTAACTACAAATGTCGAGCGTGCAAGGAAGTGGGACGCAACGGGATAACTTGTCGCCGCCACGCAAACCGAATTGTGAATGCACATGAAGCATTTTCTGCACATTCAATTTAATTAAGGGTTGCGCTGGATCCTTTGGTGCCTAAGCCATTTTTCACGTCTTATTTTGAGATGCCCAAAACCTCTCTTTACGAGTCCCTCACACGAGATTCCATTTCATTTATTTTAAATTGAAGCATAAATAGCGTCCAACCTGGATACTTGTAATCTTTTATATTAATTGGATGTTGCGTTACGTTAAGCTTTTTAAATTATGAATATTATAGTAGGAACGAGTTTCTACATCGTGTAGGCTGAAAACGTTAATTGATTCATGATCATATTCTTTAATTTTTTAAGTACATTAACGATGCTTGTGATTTATTTCTTGACGCATGGAATGACTTCACATCTATTTTAACACGATGCAGCATGGTTATATGCGACCCTAAAGAGTAAGAGTGAAACGATTTAATTGCAATACGCGAAACATTAAATTAAATGTTAAATGTATCTTACAAACTAATTACTACATCGTGGCTGAAGGTAACATTGTATTATCCTTGTCCTTGTTTCTAGCGCTATCGGTTGGTAACTAATGGTTGATTTTGTCGAAGGCGAAATTTCGTGTAACTAAGCATCTTTAGGCACAATAATTTGCAGCAATTAGTCGTTCTGTGCTGTAAGCACACCACATCGTCCTGCACTACAGAAGGAAAAAAAATTATACCATGACCTTGAGTTCGCTGTTTCGTTTTCAATTCACGCAAAACTCTACATAATACACAATAAACACCATTACGTATGCAGCACTAAATTTTTGCGTGCAACCGATTAAACTGTCAGGTGCAGCAGCTCTTCTCCAATTGCGCTTATCCAGTATCAGCATCACATGCTCCACACTCTAGGTATTTAGTACATGTTTTTGTTCAAGAGCAAAAGTGATGTTTAGTGGTTCGTTTCTTTCCAAAGATAACAAAAGCTCACGTACAAATTCATCGACATCACAGTCGTACGTCCCGTACTTAGTCCGAAAATCGGCATTGCGTACTCACTATTCGTGCTATCCTGGTGTAAATCCTGCAACTACAACAAATACAAAAATACCAGACACACAACGTGCAATCCTAGATTTAGAAGGTATGTACACGTCCTCGTAGAATATATAATTACCTGTAGTGACATGTCTGATGTCGAGGCCGTGACCGTATCCCTCGCACACAGCACACTTAAAACTAATTTAAATCGACGCGCTTCTGCACCCTTGCTTAAATTTCACATCATGTAAACAGCGACATATAAGGCAGTTAATAAGTGAATTACCTCAACCACAAGATCTAATTGTTTTTGACAAGTTTTCTCCATCCGTCATCTCAAATTAAGTCTTGCTTTATTCCGCGATCCAGTCGAGTGTGATGTTCCAGCATAAATGTATCAAGCGCACCATCCGATCGTACGAGACCTAAACAACATAATAAACAATTTCAGCATGAGCAAGTCTCCAAATTTAGCGTCCCCGTGGCATTTTTTTATCGCAGGATCGTATATCGGTCCAAAGCCTTACCTACTCCTGTTACGTAAGACCCGACATAGAAAGTCGTACAGCACGCAGGTAGACTCTGCGTCAGTGCCTCAACAACCATGCGCAAAAATCATGTTTAACACCACACATGTTCCTGTCGTCACGCATGTCTCGCTCACGCATCGCACGTCGCGTCAAAACGCAAAGCGCATTCGCCAACTATAGAGCACTTCTTTATAAACTCGATAGTCATAGTTTCACTTTTTCAGAGAAATCTAAGGTGATCTACACTGATTAATAACTGGTTGGTGCTGATTTTAAAACTGTTGCTGAAAATGAGACTTTTGACCTAGGAAAATGCTGATAGTGAGGTTTACTCTTCGGTTGGAACGGTTCCGGGCACTACGGTCGAAGTCATGTCAAATGGCAGCACCGTCAGTGAATTTAACGCATCACCCTGATATAACATCTGCTCAGCCTTTCTTCGTTAAAGCGAACAGCGCCAGTTCAGCGGCACCATAAGACGCGCCTAAGATTGCTGCCTTTTCGCCGGTCATCCCAATGAAATGATAGTATTTATGCTATGTTGGTTTTCTCGTGGCACCTAAATATTTATAATACTCATTTACAGGGTAACAAATAGCGCGGTACACATCGGTTTCGTGCTGAGGTGGTGCTAATGTTGCGACTGGTGCCAGTTTGCGACATTTGTCGGCATTTAGTGCTGGTATTGCGACTTACTCATCAGTGTGTCCCACCCTGCATGCCCGCCCTGTAAACGTCTCATTCAACCAGTTATTGAAATTTTTTGAGCGCTTTAAGACGTGCGACTAACGAGGATGACAACTGTAACGGGGTTGCACGCGGTTATTTGAACCGGTTATGTTGTGTGTCCACACCAAGTTAAGATCGGTGGATCTGAGTGGTACAGTATTGGTACCATGTACTTACAGTAATACCGCACCTTATCAGGTAGGGATCAGGGATCAGACTTCTGTCATAAGATCGCTATGTAAAATTCAGACAAGATTTTTGGTTTTGTTTCCGTAGTTAAGGAATAAATAAAGTGTGTTACCCTTTTGAATCGTTGGACGCTAGTGCCTCGTTAAGGTATAGCGTGTTGTAAGAGTGTTAGCCTTGTGAAGGCTTACTCTTGTTTAACTAGTAGTGACTAGTTAGTGTGTGATTCTGTGAATCTTAATTCCTTAAGAACCGGGGTTATTTAGCTTGTACGCTTGAACGACTGTAATTAACTGTTAGTTTGTTATAATTAAGAGACTCTATATGTCTAAGACTTACTCTTATAAGGAGCGCTAAGTAGCTCCGCTACAACAAGAGTGGCACGATTTAATACAAACATTTTTTAAAGTGCATGGATAGTACACATCTTGCAGTTTGAACTCAGACATCTACTTTGGTGATTGTAACGGGGTGAGAGCCCGTTACCGTCTTACACTAATAATTAAGCTGAGGAAGCGCTGTGATTTATAAGGTAAATTTAACTCTGTTTGTATTTTTGTGTTTTTTTATAATTCGCAGTAAGTGCGAATATGTTCCCTAGCTCATGGGAACCACTCAAATACAGAACTAATTATTATTGGCTAATTATTGGGTCTGGCACCCCAATAATAAACCAATAATAACTAGACGCGCAGTATCCGCTATCCGGATACTGCCTATACTTAATGTATGTAATTATGTAATAAAACTATGACTACTTAATATAATGGGTTGCCCCATTACATCACCCCCCTCTTTAAGTTGCGCTTACCGTGACGTAAGCGCCATACACAGAAAGTTTCTTCTTAACGAATAGTCCAACGAAAAGCCCAACGAGAACTCCAACGACACGTCATCTTGGTCTTCGAATCTGCTCAGCCACAAACAACTGAGCAGCATGAATCCTGAACACCCACGCGACTCGACCCCAAACGACAGTTGGGGTCATCAGACACTTCGAAGAGAGCGTGCACCGCAGACCATGGATGACGACATGAAGCCGTGGGGCTTGTACAGCCTTGAAGGCGCGCACCAACCTGAATCACTTGAGACCATGAAGAATCTCTTCACACGATACCGTAACGTTCGAGGCAAGGGAACGAATCACACATACACTGAAGACGCACTGCAACGATCTTGGTGTGCCTATATCAGACGTTGGAACGCGAGTCGACGTGAAGGGGCATCCTTCACGTCCTGGATCGAGGGACGCGAAAGTACTCATGGCGACCACGCTATTGGCGACTTACGACGACGCGTATGTCATTTGACTCGTGATGGGTTCCACATGTGTTACGTCCATGTCCGTGAAGGGTGTCCACGGTGTCACATGGAGAGACCGCGACCAATGCGGCAGGAATGGGACGACATGGTGTGTGCACGGGGAATGCCCCAGCACATCCGACCATGGATCGGACGCTATGAGAGGAGCCTCTCAGAGCTCCAAGTATCTGCGTTGCGTCACATGAGGGAACGCCCTGTCGATCAATGGAGGCGTTCACGTAGTCGAGATCGTTTGTCTTACGACCACCGAGGTCGTTCTCGTAGTCGCTCTCGACTGTCAAGGTATCCAAATGCTCCCGAGCCTCGTAGAAGACGTCGGAGTCGCTCAAGAGATCGTCGTCGATCGCCAATTCACGCACGTTACGGTTCGCGGGATCGTGGAAGGAGTCAGCAGCGTCGGTCGCGTTCGCCGACCTCTTACTGGTCTCGTACTCCTTAACGACGTCAGGAACATCGTGAGCCAGCATACTTCGAGGCTCCCACGTGTCTTCCGTTGGTGAATAACCCAACCATCGGACCTTGTAATGCGTTTCTGAACGACTCTTCGATGGCGCCGAGCCACTACTCGGCGCAAGAGGCGTGGGGTCTTCATGACCGACAATACGGTCCACAATCCAGCGTCGCTCACCCGATGCATCTACCAAGGGAGGAGGAGCATCACGACGGAAGGCTTCTTGGGTTGGGCGCCGATTCTCATAATCGGGCGCCTGTGCCGTCGAGTGACGAGCTTCGTTTCCTTCGTGCTGACACTGAAGAGGCGATGAACGGCCTTCTGGATGCCCGTGAGATGGCCGAGAGGGCTCGAGATCGTGCAGCAGCTGCGACAGAGGCTGCCGAGAGAACCCGACGGGAGCAGCAGGGCTTGGTGGAGCGTCTGCGATAGCTCGAGACTGCTGCGTTCGGTGGACCCCAGCAGAACGAGTCTGCTCGCGCTCGTCTAGGACTTGGTCCCAGTCGTCGTCAGCGTCGTCGGCAGGGGGTGTCGGACTTTGAGCCGATACAGACGAGTGAGGAAGGACCAAAGGGAGATCCGCCGGCAGGTAAGCCTTAAGGCGCCCGACATAGAATGTCGGGTGCAAACGCATAGTGGTAGGTATGTCTAGCGTGTAAGCATCTCCATGGACTTCAACAATCCGAAAGGGCCCAATATATCTTGGCGCTAATTTATTAGCGCCCAAATTCGTTACTGACGTGTCTGGTAATCCGCTTGTCGATAGTAAGACTCTGTCACCTTCTTTGAACGTCAGCAAGTTCTTTCGACCTCGCTTTTCCGCGTTCTCCTTTTGTTTATCCACTGCTTCTTGGAGTGCATCGCGTACAAAACGCGTGATACTTTGCCGTAGTAATAGGAATTCGGTCACAGCAGCCGAACTTACAGGAGAAGTGGACTCTTTATGAGCAAAATTAGCGACGGGAGACGCGATGGGATGCATCGCGTCGGGACTCGATATGCCATTGGCCACGAAATTAACAGTATGAGTTGCATCGGCAGCAACCTTGTCTTCAACATTACCAATCATCAAAATTTTTCGCGTAGTGTCATCGGGAGATACTCCCCCACCAAGCTGAGAAACTGGGTGTGCTGAAGCTGAAAGAGCAAGAAGCGCTGGAACGCGAGGGTGCCTCGCGTTATTCACGAAAAATGGCGTTAACCCAGTCGACGCATGAATTGCGTTGTTGATTGCAAATTCAGCGAGAGGGAGAAACGAACTCCACGACTGGAACGATGTCGCATAACTGCGTAGTACATCTTCAAGCACTCTGTTCACGCGCTCCGTTTGCCCATCCGTCTCTGGATGGGCTGCCGTAGACATAAGCAGTCGCGTGCCCAATAGTTGAAACAACGTTGCCCAAAAAGCTGATGTAAAGCGCGGGTCGCGGTCCGAAACAATTGATTCAGGCAAGCCGTAATGTCGAAATATGAGATCGATGAAGATCTGCGCGGTCGTCTCCGCCGTAACGTGCGCGGAGACTGGAGCAAAATGCACCATTTTGCTAAATCGATCCACAAAAACCAATACGCCCGTGCGTTTCTGTTCGTCCGGAGGGAGACCAAAGATGAAATCCATGCTGACCGAACGCCAGGCTTCCGTGGCAATCGGAAGCGGACGCAATGGAGCTTGTGAAGACGGCGCAGGCTTCACACGCTGGCATATTTCACAAGAGCGTACCCATTTCTGGATGTATTTGTACATACGCGGCCAGAAAAACACACGAGAGATGGCCGCGAACGTCTTCTCGCGACCCAAATGACCACCAGTTGGAGTGTCATGAAATTCATGCACCAATCGTGCGCGGAGGTCGTCATCAGCAGGGATGACGACGCGCGGTGGGTCGAAAACGTCCATTGTTTAGGTCAGCAGCGGACCATCAAGCGCGTACCGCTTGATGTTGTCACGCGTTGGTTTCGTCAACTTCGCGAGTGAACCCTCACTAGGGTGTCGAAGATAATTGATGATTCCCGTGTAGAATGAATCGTTCGCATATGACTCAGCGATTTGAGTCCGGATTGACAGCTCAGGTGTCGAAATCATTGCATTGAGCCCCTGCTCAGCACAGCATAAACAAATGTCGTCGTCCTCGTCTTCAGCAATGCCTGGCTGATGACCCATGTCACGTCGAGGATCATAATCGGGACGTCGAGAAAGCGCGTCAGCAAGAATGTTGTTCTTGCCGGGTTTGTAAAAGACCACGAAATTATACTCTGAGAAGTATGACAACCAACGTGCCATACGCTGGGACAAGTGGGGAGTCTTGACGGCGGTACGCAATGATGCGTGATCTGTATAGACCGAAAACATCTTCTCGCCGAGCGAATATACTCTGAACTTGATCAGCGCGTAACGCATAGCCAAAAGTTCCTTGTCATGTACCGGATAGTTCCGCTCTGCGGGTTTCATCTGTCGTGACTGAAAGCTCACGACGCGCTCTCGGCCCTCATCGTCAAACTGCATGAGGGCACATCCAATAGCGAAATTACTCGCATCACAGACGACGTGAAATGGCTTGGAATCATCAGGCAACATCAGCACTGGTGCTTCAGACAAGCTCTTTTTCACAGAGTTGAAGGCAGAGTGATGTTCAGCTTTCCATGACCAAACTGCGTCTTTCTTCAGTAGAGTCGATAGTGGCTGGATTAGTTCTGCATAGTTCTTCGTATACTTATGCAAGTAATTGGCCAAGCCAAGCCATTGGCGTAGTTCCGTTTGGTTCCTGGGCGTAGGCCAGGAACATATCGATGACACTTTCTCGGGATCAGCACGGACACCCTCCTTGCTAACATAGCATCCAAGAACTGGAATCTCGGGAGCACAGAAGACACACTTCTTCAAATTTGCGTACAGTTTGTTCTCGCGCATCACTTGGAACACCTGTTTCAAATGCCGAAGGTGGACCTCCGTAGCGCTGATTTGTTGCTCAGCGCGGCTGTGAACAAAAATATCGTCGAAATAACTTGGAGCGAAATCACGTAGTGGCCGAAGCACTTGTGTCACCATCCGGTTGAACGTTGCTGGAGCGTTCTTAAGGCCTTGTGGCATGACTAGCCACTCCCAAAGCATCCCACTCGGTGTGCTGACAGCGGTGAACGGGATATCACTGTCCCTCATTAAAATCTGGTAAAACCCGTCTGTCAGGTCTATGGCGCTAAAAATCTCGCTGCCGGACATGGTATCCAGTACCATGTCTTTCCGAGGAATTGGTGTTTGAGCCGGGATCGTGGCGTCATTCAACTTGTTAAAAGCATGCACGATGCGCCAACCGCCGGTGGCTTTCTTCACACAGAAAGTCGGACTCGAATGTGGCGATATGCTTTCGCGGACGTGTCCTGCCTTACGGCGGCCCTCAAAAAGTTCATCAATTGCGATGACTTGGTCACGCGGTAGCGGCCACTGCCGCGTCACGCAATACTTCGATCCTGGCACGAGATCGATCTTGTGTCGCACACCACGATCCGCTGGAAGCTCAGCGGGGATATTCTCCGGAAAGATGTCGGCATACTCACGCGCGATATCATAGACAGGGTTGCCCGAAGCACGAAGGGCTTCCCAAGACTGTGCCACGAAACGTTCTTCGCGCGCTGATTTGGGCTCAGCGCTCTTTGGGCGAGCCTCTCCAGAACTTCTCCACTAGCTGCTTCGGCGGCTGATATGATGCACACTTGCTCGATGTCGCCGGCCTTGAGGTCGTGAAGAAAATCTTTCCATGGTAGGGTTAATAGAGATGTGATCTCTGCAACAGTGCACGGAGGGCTCGCTACCTCAACGTAGCGGCCACGATGTGAAGACCCTTCCACATATTCAAGCGCACAAACGGATTCCGTCAATACAGTATCATCGTCAACGGCGCTTGAGCGAGAATTTCGTCGTCTTGGTGATCGGCGTGCACCTTTCTTGCGTTTACGCTTTCTCTTGCGTCTTGAGCCACTGCTCGAGGCTGGAACGTCGCTGTCGCTGGAGGATGAAGTACCCCCCGCTAGACGTGGAGCTCTGTCTCCACCACGTCGTTCACATTTAAGTCCACAGCCCGTTCATTCTCGTCGATAAGAGGCGGGAGCTCGTCGTCGACCGCCTCAGGTGTATGTGGGAGCCTCTGCTCGACCACCTCGGTTACAATCGGGAGCCTCTGCTCGGCCGTTGTGTGTGTATGCGGGAGCCCCTGCTCGACCGCCTCGCTAGAACTCGGGAACCCCTGCTCGACCGAAGTCCGTGTGTGCGGGAACCCCTGTTCGACCGCCTCGTTGTGAATCGGGAGCCCCTGCTCGACCGATGTCCGTGTGTGCGGGAACCCCTGTTCGACCGCCTCGTTGTGAATCGGGAGCCCTTGCTCGACCGATGTCTGTGTTTGCGGGAACCTCTGTTCGACCGTCTCGTTGTGAATCGGGAGCCCCTGCTCGACCGATGTCTGGGTTTGCGGGAACCTCTGTTCAACCGCCTCGTGTTGTGGTTCTATCAGTGTGACTGAACATACCGGACACATAGGGCTATCGCTCTCTCTGTGCTGACTTCTAGTCGTGGCGAGTTCGTTCACGACCCTGACGTGAGGCCAATCGGATGGCGCTACCAACAGATGAGTGAAAACTTCACTTACGTCGTAACCGCTTCGTCGTTTGACGGACCGAGATAGCCATTCTATCGTCGGCTGATATCGTGACAGCCACGGTATCGCCAAGATGCAATCGAATGCATAATTCATCTCGTACACCAAAAATTCGTCATTACTTTGGAAGCCGTCGAACGTGTACGGCAAAACCACTGTTTTACGCGGGACACGCTGTGGTTGTCCATCAGCAAGTTTGACAACGATGTCACCTGGACCTTCTCTAACCGTAACTGTCGACGGGAGAAGGGACAAACATGATGCTCGAAAGAAGTTGTTGGATGCACCCGAATCCAACAACGCTCGAAGTGGTCGTTTAACTCCAGCAACGATGAGACTGATAATTATCAGTCTCGAATCGTCGCGCATAGTGGTGGCATTGAAGTGGGTATGTATCACTTTAGGGCTAGGAGCCCGAGCTGCCACCTGAGTACTCGGGGCTCCATTACTTCCAGTAGGGCGCCCCGCACCTACTGGAACCGCTCGTTTTTTGGCGGGACCACTGACGACACAGTATCTCCACGTGAGACAGCTGTGTTCATGGACACCGGCGCTGGTGCTCGGCAGACGGCCGCACGATGGCCAGTCTTGCCGCACCGATAACACTTCATCGTGTTTTGACTTCGAATGTCGCGGCCAAATTGCTTGCCGCGACCACGAGATGCATCGATAACGTCAATTTCCATAGGCTCTGGGCCAGACGTACGCGGGCGTTGCGACGCTGCCTGCAAATATGACGATGCGACCGTGTAATCTTCACGAAGCGCGAGGGCAAATGCCTCCTCAAGAGTCTTAGGTTCAGCACGTGTGAGGCAATAGCGGGTCATGCCCTCTTGCATACCAAAGACAAAGACATGAACTTGCGAAGCCATGTCGATCGGCTGCGTGATGATACACGAAGCAAGATGTCGCGTCTTCTGTATGTAATCACGCATCGACAGCTTGCCCTGTCGAAGTGAAAAGAAATCTGCGCGCAAGCGTGACTCATCTTGAGGGGGCTCGAACGCCAGTCGTAAGTCGCGCTGGATATCGTCCAGCGTGGGGAATGCCAACTCGTTTACAACGAGCTTCCCAAGAGCCCATTCTTTGGCTTTACCAACAAGCCGAGACAGTAGGAAATTAACCTTGGCCGTCGGAGCGTCAATCAACCTTGACGCTATGGCGATATCAATCTCCCTAAACCAGCGATTAAGGGGGAGACGATCTGGACCATCACCAGAGTATGTCGACGTCTCCATTTTAATTGCATCGTAATGGGAGGGGCGCGAGGGAGTATATACTCGCCGGTTCGCTTCGGCGAGCTCGCGCACCATGTAGTCTTGAATGGCGGCACGGTGTTGTTCGGGCGTCGCTGTGCTCAGCAGCGACGTCACGAAGATTTCACCAGACACCGCCGCGAGGCGGTGTAATGCCTGCCATTCTACCGTAGTGAGATGGGGAAAATCTGCATGCTCCAGCGAAACTGCTGGAGCCATGGAAGATTCACTCATATCCATCTCGAACTTGGTCATGGGAAGGACTACGAAGTGCTACCAGGTGTAACGGGGTGAGAGCCCGTTACCGTCTTACACTAATAATTAAGCTGAGGAAGCGCTGTGATTTATAAGGTAAATTTAACTCTGTTTGTATTTTTGTGTTTTTTTATAATTCGCAGTAAGTGCGAATATGTTCCCTAGCTCATGGGAACCACTCAAATGCAGAACTAATTATTATTGGCTAATTATTGGGTCTGGCACCCCAATAATAAACCAATAATAACTAGACGCGCAGTATCCGCTATCCGGATACTGCCTATACTTAATGTATGTAATTATGTAATAAAACTATGACTACTTAATATAATGGGTTGCCCCATTACAGTGATTCTATATGCAACCAGTCGATAACAGTTTAGCAAGAGTCTGTAGTTTGTTTGAATTTTAGGTTGTACTATGTATCAATCACTTTCTAACTTAACGTCTGCATCGTTAGCTTAAAGCAATCTTCACCAATGCTGCGTCTCCGTCGGCGTCAGCAAAACATCCTAACGTCTTCGCGATCGGTTTCGCGCATCTGGTTGTTGTGACCGCGTGTATTTGCATGTTTTTATCGATTTCACAGTCGGCACACGCGCATAGAAGACTCGACATATGATCTTTTCGCAGTTCGTCTTTGGCCAAGGTGTCTAGCGTAGGATCAATCAGCGTATTAATAGATGCAACTTCAATTCATCTTCGACCCTTCAGTGTAAATAGACAGTAAAGCAACATTTAGAAGCGATTCGTCATTACCACGATCAAGGACATGATCTCGTCATCGTGACCATTGAACTTTTTCGGAAAGAGAAAACCCAAGCGCTTGCGGCCATGTGCATGCTATTTGATTTATACAAAATGTGGTTTGCCAGGTGGCATACCTTCTCATTCTAACTTTTCTTATTGCTCTATGTAAACTCTCCTGCAATCTCAAGTACAGCGAGGTGGTCTATCCCGTCGAAGTCTTATTCACTATTGTCTTGACTCTCACAATAGCACCAGCAATTCCTATCACCATCAAAAAAAATAAAATGATGATTTGCTTGTTTTCTAGTCGTCATACGATGACTTTGGTCGTTAAGAAATTATTGGCATGGCAAAGAGGCAATTTGACATTACACTGCCTCTCAAATGCTAAACTTATCGATACCACTACAGTAGAGATATTTTCGCGATTAGCATGGCGGACCAGTTAAAGATGTATGTAGGAGATCGAATGTATTTATCCATAAAGGTAAGAGATGTACGGTACGTAGAAAAGATGTAACGGGGTGACACGTAGATGGGTACCTGGTAACCTGTGTCTTGGACACATGGATGATATCCCACTGAAAGGGATACAGAAAATCTTATCGGTTTACAGGGGCTGACTGGTGTCAGCCACTAGATAGGAGAGATCTTAGTTGTACTAACTTAGGTTAAGATATTCTATGTGTGTAAATGTAAATAAAATTTAGTTCCCCTTTTGATCTTAAAAACACTGCCTTGCGAGGCGTCTTTGGTCGTTGATCGCTGATCACTAAGAGTTAGCAACACCTTCCCGAGGTAGCTAGCTACTCTTGAGCACTAAGTGCTGTCGATTCATTGAACCGTTTGTTCCCCTGGAACAAGGACCATACGCTTTACGCTTGTTGACTCATTGAGTCTAGTTCTTTAGAGCTAAGTTGCTCGTTGAGCGTTAAGTCTTCCTCTGACTTTAGGAGTTGTGTAGCTCCGCTACACTTGGTAGCAATTTTTAGTCAATCTACGCCTAAGTCTATCAAGACTGGTCTTTTGTGAGTGTTAAAAACCCACATCCCTCTCTGAGGCCCAAAAGTTCGCGCTTGTTAATCTAACTGCATCTTTGGGTCCAGCGTTCGTGGAGCTCCTTTTCTCAAAAGGCCCCGAGGTGCTTAATGCACGTGTAGAAGGTTTCATGCAGTATATAGCGATCCTTCTAGGGCATTACAGGACCAAATAGCGTAGGCAATGCCTACACGCTATGTTTCTGTACCAGATTATGAGGCTAGGCCTCGTCCACTTAGAGTGGAAGTAAAGAACTACTCCGGTAAAGAGGGTACAAACCTCATCCTCTGGATCCGTGAGATTGAGATGGCCATGTAATAAGGCCTGCTCAAACTTTACCATCAACAGGTCTCGCTAGCTATCTCAAAGCTCGATGGAAGAGCTAGAAAATGGATCTTGACGTGTAGCACTTCGGTTGACGTAGCAATCCCCACATGGTATATGCTTAAGTCACAATTGATGCAGGTGCTCTCACCATCTAACTAAGCTTACCGCGTGCTTTCACGCTTTTCGTCTACCCATCAGGGTAGGATTGAATTGTCGCACTACATCCAAGAGTTGAGAACTCTCATGGCTGCAATGCAGTCTGACCCTTTGCTCGAGGCAGCTCATTTGACTATCTTCATGGAAGGTCTTCGTACTGGCATTTCTAGAACCGAAGTTTCTCGGGTTTACCCCTCTACGTTAAAAGAGGACGTGAGAACTGCTCTTAATGCTGAGCGTAATTGCAAGTCGGCCAGGATTGGCTGGAATGGGTACATCCCTAGCTCTGCGAGAGCAAACTCCACGAGTGTTCCAGCCTAAAAAAGGCTGGAATCAATGGATCTGAGCTATGCTGAAGATGGAGGTGAAGTTAAACTTCAAGCTGCAACCCCTATAGAGCTCCGCACCTATTGGTATGGAGCGTGGATACAAGTCTGGCTTGTTAGTCGCCGAGGCGAAAATTAAGGGCTTTAAGAGGCCTTGGTCGATACTGATCGACCCTGGAGCGTCTTGCAATTATGCTCGACGTCGTATCCTTGAGAGAAGTCAGCTTTATGCTGAGGCGCTTATATCGCATAAGGGTGATTCTATCACGGTTCGTTTAGCGACTGGAAGTCTCGTAACGGTGCCTAAAGTTCCATTGAACTTAGGTATACAGTTTTTAGACTTTGACAGCATTGAACGCTGTCTTGTCCTTGCTTTGGACTCGAGATATGATCTCATCCTTGGTATGGCTTGGTTTGAACGCCATGAGCCATGGATTGATCGGAGGTCTAAGACCTTAGGCTCCACGCGCAACGTTTCTAGCGAAATTTTGTACAGTCATGAACCCACCTTCGCTAGGCAACAAAAGCACTACTGGCGCGAGCCTTTGGCTAAAGATGTATTTGTGCTGGACATTGGGAAGTCTATGTGGTCTAACTTCAATGTTATAAACATAGATTCCGAGCGTAGCTCGTTTGATATCGATGAAACCGCAAGTACTCCGTTGAGTGTTACTCGTTGTGTTAACGAGTCACTGCATGCTGAAAGCACGGTTATACTAGGGCCAGATTATCAAGAATGTGATTTCTTTGATGTGTGTGAGGTGGCACTTACAAATTAACCGAGCGTGGGCGGCCGTGAGGGCACCACACTTAATATCGGTAATGGCTTTGTTTGCGAAAAGCCGTTCAGTTCAGGACTAGGCCTGCCTAATGTACGTGGAGTGGCACGTGTAAATCCACTGGGTGAAGAGTTCGAGTTATGTAACACTTCACCGGATGTCGGTCAAGACATCGGCTCTCGTATAGAGCGCACTACTAATAGTAGTAATCAAGGGTAAAGTGTTGTTTCGACCCCTAAGGGGTGTAAGGTCTCCAAGGGACGACTTAAACGCCATGTGGCAACTGTAAAGCGCCAGGCGTCCACACAGTGATTGAGTAATGATAGTAAAACGCTATGTACTTTTGTCAATGGAGTGACTAATCAGGTTGATGGCAATGTCAGCCTTGAAACCCATCCATCTTTGGATGCTCTGTGTGAGCTAGACAAAATGTCTAATGGCGAGTTCATCCAGGCCTTAAAGACAAAAAATATATATGAATTAGTGGTCATTAGACCCGATGTTAAGTTGAACGCGTCCTCATTAATCAAAGAGTCTGTCCTAGAAGACAAAAAAGTGGCACCTAGTGCACGAAGTGGACCTTCGATCCTTAAAGATCCTTTAGACTCATTTTATTCTTTGGTTTAGTAATTTTAAGATGTGATGTGTCACAATTCACCATCTATCGTACTATCTGATAGAGGTGTACTTCATGAAATTGACTTAGTTCCAGGAACTAAATACTGCGTAACACGGCAGTGGCCTTTGCTTAAAGAACAGTGTGACGTCTTAGACGATTTCTTTCGTGCTAAACACGCGGCTGGAATGGTTCGTGAGAGCAAACTCTCCATTTGACACCGACAGTTTGCGTCAAGAAGCCAAATGGCAAGTGGCGCACTGCGCATGCTTTTAATAAGCTTGTTGCAGCAACTATACCGGCGCAGACGCCTATTTATAAAAAAATGCTCTTCAAAAAAGTATGGTAGGGTGTACATTGTACAGTGCACTTGACTAAGTCGACGGTTACTACCAGCTCCTCATGCAAGCGAGTGATATTCAGCTAAATGCGGTGAATAAATCGAGTGGTATGCTCTCAGAGTGGCGTATTTTGCCACAAGGTCTGTCGAACGCCTTGGCTACTTTTAAAGGTCTGGTGACGCAACTTTTGCGAACTCATAGAGGTCACGCACAGACGTACTTTGACGACATCAGTGTCCATAGTCGTGCAACGAAAGGTTAATCAGATGTATATAACCACAATGATCATTTACGAGCGGTGCTCGAGTGCGTGCGCACAAATAAATTGTACGCTAATGCGTTTAGGTGCATCTTCTAAACAGATGAAACTTTCTTTCCAGGGTGCTTAGTTGGGAAGCGAGGCCTTCAATAGACCGCACTAAGGTAAAGGCCATAGTCGACTGACCGGTTCCTAAGAATTAAAAGGACTTACGTAAGTGGCTTGGCCTTGCCTATTACTTGCATAAGTATAGGGCAAATTACGCAGACATGGCTAGGCTATAAACCAATCTCCCCAAAAAGGATTAAGATTGGATTTGGGGTAATACTGAGCACATTGCTTTTAAAGCGGTTACGGAGAGTCTCCTTCGTGCGCCAATATTGGCTTTGCCCGATCCTGATCGACCCTTTAGTGTCGTCTGGGATGCATCTAACTTTTCCATTGGCAGTGCTCTGTTACAAACAAATATTGATGGACGAGAGCGCGTCACTGCGTTCGAGTCTTGCCAGCTTAAAGCTGCTTAAAAGAACTTTTCAGTTCATGACAAAGAACTACTTGCTATAAAGCATGCTCTAGTCAAATTCAGATTACATCTGCTTGGCTTGAAGCCGTTTGTGATTTATACAGATCATGCGTCATTGCGCACTGCGACACAGTCGCCGCATCTCTCTCAGATAATGGCTCGTTGGCTTTCCTTCTCTGTTGAATACAACTTCGAGGTGAAGCATAAGCCAGGTAAGCAAAATACCTTGGATGATGCGCTATCGTGCCGACCTGACTGTGAGCTTGCTCATGTTACGACACTGTCGTCATCAGTCCCTGACTTACTCCGTGCGGCTTATGCCTATGACAAACAGTGTGTTGCTATGCTACAGGCTCTTTAGAGCGTTAAGTTTATAGGCTCGGACATAGAATTGTCGGCTGGTTTACGTGCTATGCTACATCGATATTTCATTGCTAATGGTCTGTTGTGCTTTCGCACGGATATTGAGGATACCCCTCGTATTGCTGTCCCTCATGATGAGGAGTTGAAGCATCGAATCCTTCATGAGGCACATGATACCGCTTAACGTGGTCATCTTAGTCGTGAGAATACCCATGGCTCGGTGAGCCAGGCTTATCGGTGGCCCGATATGTACAAATGGGTGAGCATCTATTTGCGGACATGTGACCCGTGTCAACGGATCATGCCTTAAGCACGTGCGGTTGTACCACTTGATAGTTTGCCTGTACCCACTGGGTGTTAGGAGTCCATGAGTATGGATTTTGTGTTTGGGCTACCGAAAGATTCGGAAGGCAACACTGGTTTTGTGATCTTTGTTGACCGTTTTAGCAAGATGGCTCATTTAGCAGCTGTGCCGGACGCGCCTAATGTTAAAGGCACAGCAAAGCTGCTGATCGATCGTGTGTTTCGACAACATGATTTGCCTGTGGCAATTATCTCTGATAGAAATCTCCGCTTCACAGGGAAGTTCTGGACTTCCATCTTCAAGGTGCTCGGCATCCGATGGACATGTCCACGGCGGATTACCCGTAGAACGATGGTCAAACTTAGCGTGTCAATCGCGTCATTAATGACTTTTTGCGCAGTTTTTGCACTGACACTCCACGGCGTTGGAGCTCAGTGCTCCCTGTTGTTGCATTTGCTTAAAAAAAGCTGTTTATGCCTCCACAGGCTTTAATCCGTTTTACGTAAACGTTCTCATCCACCCTTGCGTTCCGTTAATGCTATCACTTTGTGGTTAGGGCTTGGTGGGGGAGGGGTTTGCCGATAGGCTTGCTGATGTCAGCCCTGCTACTGATCAAAAACAGGTAGGCGAGTTTCTCGCAACGCGATTGAATGTATTACGATATGTGCGGAAAGCAATGGCTGAAAGCCAAGATCAACAAAAGCAACAAACTGATGCTAGAGGCAGAAACTGTATCGGAAATTATGATGTCAAGGATCAAGTATAGCTCAATGCAAAAATCTACCTACAAATGTAGTGTCTGCTGTCTTCAAGACAAAATTGCGTCCACGCTTCATTGGAACGTTTGCGCTCACCGCCAAGAAGGTCCTTGCGTATACGCTCAACCTTCCACTCAAATTGCGTACACACCCAGTGTCTACGTAGGCTTACTTAAGCTGTACCGGGATCCTTGCCATGAGAAATTTGAGGCGCTGGCGCCGACGACGAGGGCGGTGCCCCGGATTGCTGCAAGCGAATCAGAAAGTCGAACTGAGCCTCGCTTTCAGTTTGAGCCTGCTCTATTGCCTGAAGGCGTCTCAGCATCGCATCCAGTATTCATTGGGTCTTCCCCAGGGTCTCTTAAAGATCCTTTACTTATAGAACCAATTTCTCGTGGGCTGCCGTCGGTACACCGGCCGCCACCGACGCTGCTCGATGAGAATGGGTGTCATCGGTTTCATGTCGAGAGACTATTGAACGACGTCGTCGTCATAGCCACTACAAGTATCTATTTAACTGGCGTGGTAACCCTGCGTCTGAGAACTAATGGTATAAATGGTACCTCTACGGAAAGATTTCCCTTATGCTTTGGATGTTTTTGAACATCGTGGCCAAAGTCATCTTGAGACCGAGGACGTTTCCCACCACTAGTGGTGTTGGTTGGCGGGTTGGCGGTCATAGTTTGATCAACACTCGCGGCTACCGTAGAAGCCGAAGCACATCCGTGGGATTACGCAATTGGCCTCTGGCCGTAAGCTTGGCATAGTCATTACCGAAGCTCGCGTTCGAGACGCACATCAGCCACAATGGCACTAGCTTTTTGGAGCAGACATACTGCTGTGGTGACGTATGCGTTGCACATAGAGGACGAAGGCATTATATTCTTCGCTCTCTGTTTCGCCTGCGGACAAGAGAATTCGTATATCCTTAATCAGTGGGACCGGTGCACCACGTGCTTGCATATCAAGGTGTGCCTCGTATTGACATTGGGTGGTTAGGTGAGGCTCCAGTTACCTCTGGCGAAGTGCCTTTTCAATCACCACCTCTTCAGGAGACTTAGGCCTGCGGCCAAAGATCCACGTTGCCAACGGTTGGCCCGCCGCTTGACGCAAGCGTTCCTCCACACTGGGTGAAGTGAACACATGACCACGTTGGTGCTCGAGGGTTGCGAGCATTTTCGCGTAGCATTAATTCTTTCTCCTTGTTAAAAGATTATCTGATGTTGCTTAGAGAGAGTTGTGATAATGTTATCATCTAAACCGGGGGTTGAGAGCGGCGCCAATGGCGAATTCTCATCTTTACGTTCGAGGAACGGACAGGGGGCAGGACGAGGTTGTACCTCAGACATAGGTGTATCGGACACTGTCCCTGTATCACCCGGGACACTGGTATTGCTACCATAGTCCAAAACCTCCCCCACTTCGAAATAATCACTGAGAGTCTTTGACACGTTAGTTGATGAGGACATCGTGCTAAGCTTTACGTTACCGTAAGCGCACCGACCTTGTGGAAGAACAAAGTTCGATTAGAAGAAGGTTCGATTGACGCTAAGGTAAACGTCAGTCTGGTGGGGAAGGATGTTACGGGGTTTCACGTAGTTGGGTACCTGGTAACATGTGTCTTGGACACATGGATGATATCCCACTGAAAGGGATACAGAATATCTTATCGGTTCATAGGGGCTGACTGGTGTCAGCCACTAGATAGGAGAGATCTTAGCTGTACTAACTTAGGTTAAGATATTCTATGTGTGTAAATGTAAATAAAATTTAGTTCCCCTTTTGATCTTAAAAACACGTGCCTTGCGAGGCGTCTTTGGTCGTTGATCGCTGATCACTAAGAGTTAGCAACACCTTCCCGAGGTAGCTAGCTACTCTTGAGCACTAAGTGCTGTCGATTCATTGAATCGTTTGTTCCCCTGGAACAAGGACCATAAGCTTTACGCTTGTTGACTCATTGAGTCTAGTTCTTTAGAGCTAAGTTGCTCGTTGAGCGTTAAGTCTTCCTCTGACTTTAGGAGCTGTGTAGCTCCGCTACAGAAGTCGTACTTATTTAAACAAAATAGATGTTGGTAGAAGAAGCGCAAAGGTTTCTGGCCGTTCAAGTAACGGCAGAAACGAGAATAGATACATGAGTTGCACCATAATATTTTCTATAATTTTATTGCATAAGTTGCATCCTTTTCATTTGATGTCCCTATTGTTAATTGGTCTTGATGATTCCTTATCTTTTCTTTTAATTTGTTCAATCTTGCGATTTTGCTTCAATAATCGCGGTGTTGAGCTGGAAACACACAAGTTATAGCAACTGTATAGCGGCCCTCATGTCAAGCCTCAGACAGTGTTTTATTTATCTAGTACGTCTCATTAGCAAATAATTGTACTCATCTGGCTAGTGCGCTGTACATGGTTCCTGGGGCACTTTGTTATGAAGGATATTCCTCCTAACATACGGAAAGGCTTGTGCCGGGTTGACAGCCGCATTTGAGCGTATATGTAAGCTTCGAGAATATGCTACTTGCCATTCAGCATCCACACATAGAACGCCGGTTTTAAGTGGGAGAAGCCTTGCCTTTTATGCACCATACTTTACGCTTTCTTGGCACACAAAATTCGTACGAGTTTTGGTGAGCAGCCAGGTTATATGCCTATTTTTATTCCCGTACCGTTAGCCTCGGACCCTTTCTACCGCTAGCACCACACCGTAAATAGAGCGATACGTTGTTGTACATGTTTAGAAATATACGTTAGAAATCAAGATCTGTAAAGCGTGCTCAGAACACTTGAACTTACTGTTGCAGCATCTTTCCTCTATGCTCTCTAATGCATTGGTGCTCAACGGGAACTGGTACAATCGGTGCTTGTGTTTAAAAAAAGCATCATGCCCTCAGACCTATCCTTTGATTATGCACACAACCAAGCCCACCGATCTCCTCTCTAGCTCCCCACCTTTCTCCGCAGATTCTTATTCTAGAAACCTATTCATTGGCAGTTTTCGTGGTATGTGTGCACATCAGCAAAGTATCGTAGGAATAAGCTGTATATAGTGTAGCACCAAATGAGGTGATACGACAAACTAATAATTCATGCAGAATGCTAAAATTGGGGCATTATGCTTTGCTCTTAATTCTTTGTCTCCAAACGTGGTAGGTAGGATATGTCAAGTACCAACCTAATATTTCAGTATATTATCTTCACCAATTCAAGTACAACGACCTCTGTAAGTGGTGTGGGATGGATTGTAATACAGAACATCGAAAACGTACCTGGAAAACCGCATTAGCTCATTAATCTACGCTCACTAAATTGGACACTCGTACAGTAGAATTCCTCCACTTAACACAACAATCATTCAGTAAAATGTTGTCGACAACAGCAAGATAAATATAAGCTGAAAGAGGAGTAATAGTTGACAGAAATCTATAAATGCGCGTAGCATTTATCCGACTCGACAGCACTTCTCAGTGGATTTGATCTTCGTGCGGACGTATCGAGCTATGAGACCCGTTCCTGAGTAACCAGGGTATGAAAACTAGTAACCACAACAGAAAAAATGAGGACATTATGGTTTTAACGGGGCACACGTCCTTAAACAAACTCAGCGTTTATTGGAGAAGCACTAATGTAACGAGCTATGCAAAGCGCTCGGTGTCAAATGTTTGTAATACAAGACTAATGCCAAACCTAGCCTGTCAATGCCGGTGTAGCCTTAATGATAACGAGCACGATGTTCACCACAAACACTTAGAGTGTGTGCTGATAAAAGAACCTAACCATTATCATGTTTAGCTATGGATCCGGTAGGAAAGATTTTTAGTATCTTTCGCTTTGTCTCCAACGAGGACAACCTGTCGTTCGATGTTGCAAGCGGCAGCAATATTGATGATCAAAAATCAGCTTTACAGGAGATGTAGCAACCTTGCGTCCGCGATCCAACTGTTGAAGCCGAAAATACCGCACGAACACAGAAACGGATATTCTATTATTGGTACTGATCCTTACCCCTACCCGACCTTGTTGTATTTAAACCTAAAACTCCTAGTCGCTAGAATGTGGGTGTAATCGGTAACCTTGTGAACAAAATACAATAAGCATTTGTAAATAAATTCACAAACACTGGTTGCACCTATTTTGCTGACGTACTTGGCAAGCTATGTGCACAAAACATATGTGAGCTCTGATTAAGGTAATTCACCATGTATCTTAAAATACTTTTCACACAAGCATGGGACTATTCCACCTTTCAATCTATGTGGTGCATGCATCCTTAAGCAAGCGCAGCACCTAGGACCCAAATTTTAGTCACGACCAGCAACTTTTTAGTCAGACCAAGCAACGCATTATAGATATGCAGAGTAGTTACTCGCCGGATTTGGAGCGACGTAGCGAACCCGCAAGTGTACTAAGTGCCCGCTCTTTTCCACTATTTTGAAGTATCTCTCCTGGATAGCCGAAACAATGATATAAAACATTGACTGGACTCGGAGTAATACGTTGTAATCGTATGTTGCTTTTAATTTGTCAACACTTAAAAGATCAAAGCGTGGTGTATGAGATACTCACGAAAACCGCTATTGATATAAAGATTGTGATCAGAAACATCACTTCTTGCACTTTGTCATCTAGTGTGCGGTATCGTAGATGTAGCATAGTTATTTCGGATACACTATTGCGGTCATTACTAGTACTACCTTGGGAACGGTACTCTACTTGAAAGTCAGGTTTGTCGAGGTATACTCGCACTGGAGAAATTTAAGCGAGTAGAGAATGATGTCCGTACATTAGGGTGACTTACGCTCACAAGATGTCTAGTTAGCAAAACGCACCTCAGCAGTATACCGTGACGCAATCGATTTGCACCTCATTTCACATTCTTCTGTCATACTCTGGGCGTCATGGGGCACACCCGAAAGAACGCGTGGGTGTGACCGTTGGACATTAGCGGGTAAAGATTTTCTCCGCACTCTTGACCGGATATCTGGGCTGCACTACGGTAGTCTTAGCGTGCCGCCTAGTGAGTTCTACGGCCTTTCTCCGCGGGGTTGACTTGTTTGCTCTGTGGCCAATACCTAGGTTACGAACTGCTACAGATATACCAAGGTCGTCACTTGCGCGCATAAAATTGAATAAACGTGCGCAAAAAAGCAGCAACCATCCAATCTGATCTAATTACAGTGAAAGGATTTCGTGATAGGAATGGGCGTACGGCTTAGGGACCAGAATGAACACCACATGATCGGGGTATGCCCTTAAGTCCAACAATTGCATCATGAAGACGAAGTCGACAACTCATCGATAATCGGCAGAAGCTGACCATGCAGCAGCGCGTGATGCAATCACAGAAGCTCATGCAATACGAAATGCATTGAGAGAACTGTTGCCACACAAGACGCACTGAAATTTTTCCATCAATATCGACAGCTTGGGCTGTATTCGTGTAGCATGTACTATTGTTGAAGGTACTTTATTTTTTTTATTTCATCAAAAAGAGTAATAACTCTAAATAACATCCAACAAACAAATACTGTAATAATAATTAAAAAAAACATTAAATCATGATGAAAGTTTATAATACCTTCCATTACAGGAGTTGCTGGATCTTGAAAACCTAATTGCCAAGGTTCCGCCATATCTAAAAAAGTAAATTGGTTATCTACTATATAATTTTTGATTGCCATAAATTTTTTTTAAATTGATTATTTTATTTTTTAATATATAAATTATTTTATTTAAAAGTAAATAAATATAAAATTTAAATACTTTAATAAAAAAAATTAAATCATTTTTTTTGTAAGCATTTAAATTTTATATTTATCTACTTTGCTCGCACACCTGCTACCATCTTAGTTGGATGTGTCGCGTCTGTAGACTAAACACGGGGCCCATGTTTAGTCTACAGACGCGACACATCCAACTAAGATGGTAGCATGTGTGCGAGCAGGTCGAGAAGGGTGTTATTAGTCTGAGTAGGGTGAAAGGGGGACAAAAACAGACAATGTGCAATCAATCGTGTTCACTAAGGCATCAAAAAAGAAGGTATCTAGAGTTTGTTGCAGCCGTTTGGAGTCGACGGCGCGGTTTAAGTACAAGAGTAAGATTCGGGGGTGCATGTCGGAATACGGGCACGAGACTAGACGCAATGGTTAGCCGGGAGAAGATTTGAGAGGATGTGGTGCCCCGGTGGGGATATGAGATAGTGACGGGCTCGTTAGTGGTCCATATTGTCAGCTTGTAAAAAGCTCTGCGGACAGGATGACAATACTTGAGTACTAAATCTTATGCTACATCAAGGTGATGAGGTAGTCGAAACTGGCATACGATCCGATACATAGGTCAACAAGCGAGGATGTTATCAGGTCTAAACTCTCGCACCTATGGACCATCACAGCTCATCATACTGTCACATCCGTTGTCTGAGCGCACTCCAGCAGTGATACAATGATGCTAATTAATAATGAAGTTTGACCACATAGCTAAGGAGCTTTCGGCGAAGGATGCACAGTAGTCTTTGTTGCGACTCCAAGATAGTAGAGGCTCTCTGCTGCCCGTCTAGTAAGGTTTGCTTCCATCCGGAAGCACAGGGTGCTTTAACGATGTAAGACGTCCACGGTAAAAGATGCCCAAAAAACGTAATAGTTAGTCGGCATGGCATGAGAATGGTGAGGCTGCGATCAATTACTCACTTACGGGTGTAGACACGAGCACAAATTTACGTATTTCCGTTTACACCGATTGTTAGCTGTCGAAGTACGTCCATCCCTTCGTCGCATGCAGCCCTATTGGCTTGTAAGCCACGTTTGTTATTCGCCTGTCCTGTGTTTTGCGCTGACGCACAACCGGTGTACGACTATTACGATCGAGCTTTATCTTGTTGTGCGCGAGCTCATAATGCAATCGTTCGGTCTCAACTCGAAGTCAAAATGTGCCTCATCGAACCAGTTTGCTAGAAGACTCTTCAGCCGACTTCAAGCAGGTAAGCCGATATAATAGTGGGCTCGGCGCTGCAAGATGTGTTCCGTACGTCACAGAGGCAGACTATCACCGATGTAGTGCCCAAAAATAACGGCAAGTTGCATACCACCGGTAATTGAGTTAAGTCGTTCATGCCTCCTTTAGCATGGCGATCAGCGATAATTGCATCAATTTCGTTTAATTAATCAACGAACCTTAGTGCTGACAGTACATACGTATCCAGATGTACATGCGCCAAACTACATGGACGCCTTTTGACATGCACGCTCACGCTATCGTTTCGTTCATCTCGTTCTCATAGCGCACTTGGTCCTGCTTGGCCGCCTCAATCCATGGACTTTTTTGTTCGGGGCTCATGTCCTTCCAAGTCTGCGAGATTTTGCGCATAGCGTCCACCAAACTAGCGTTGTTGCCCAGCGACTGCTTCACTTCCACTCGACTGGCAATGCTGAACAGCACATAAGCACTACGGGGCTTCCGCACACTGCTCAACGCTGAGCCCTCCTTCTTAACCTTTTTCTCCTGCTTGACCTTTTGCTTCATAGCTGTTGGAGACCACGGGGACCTGGGCAAGCGGCCCTTGTCCTCGTGCTCGGACTTAACAGCTGTGTCACGACTGGTATCAGCCATATGCGCCTGTTTGAGTATCTTATTCTCTCTTTTCATCGAAGACGTTTTCACATTTGCGAAATCGCCCTTAATCGTCCAAGTCAAAGCGCCTTTAGCAGCACCTTCGTCAGGCTCGGCAACCTGGCGTATCTTTTTAAGCACGTACGACGGTTGCAACTCCTCGTTTTTTTCCTGCCGAATCTTTGCACAGAAGTCCAATGCAACTTTAGCCGCATCCATGTTCGTCGCTTGGACCAAAAACGACACCAGGGCTTCTGTGTACTGGTCGACCATATCCTCGTTCTGGTCACGCTCCTTGCGCTTCTTTGCGCGCTTATTTTCACGCTGCTTTTGCATGCGCTTAGCCTCTTTCATAATCAGCTCGTCAACGCGGGCCTGGTGTTGCTTCACATCGGCGCGGGCTGCAGCGAGTTGCTTGTCTAGCTTCGCTCGCTGCTCTTGCAACACATGCCGCACGTCTTGCTCTTTTTTTTCGCGAGTTTCCAGGTCCGCATTGTCTTTTTCGCAAATTCGCATCAGCGAGTCACAGCGACGCCCGACTTCAGCCGCTGTGCGCGAACGCAGATAATAATCAAATGCAAACATCTCCATGCTGCAGATTTCCTGTTTAATGCGGTCCCACGCTCCGTACCCGAATTGGTTTACCAGGCACAATAGTACACGGTCTTCCTCTTCAGTAAAGACCTTACCACCCTTACCTTGATAATTTATTGGCATGTCTTCCCACGGGTTCGTGTAACGTTTAACCTTCCGCGCAGTTTCCTCCGTCAAACGCTCGATTTCAAGCAGCTTCGACTCGCCTTTTTCGATAGACTTCATAATCTTATGCCAATCACTCAACTCGTCTTGACCACGAGCGAGGAACACCTTCCAGTACTTTTCGATCTCCTCCAGAGGCTTCATCATTTCAAGCGCCACGGCTTCAATGTTCCCACGGCCATAACGTGCAAGCAGCTTAATGAAGAGAAAAAATTGAGGCTTGTTCCAATCACTGAAGCCCTCCCTCAATAAGCGCTCCTTTTCCTCAAGCTCCTCTTCGGTTAGATATTGTGCATGCGGTGGGAGCGGCGGCTTTTCCGTCTCTGCCTTAACATGCTCATAGTTTGTGCATTCGATCTCATGAAGCTCAATAAGCCGCTTGCGGTTATAAAACTGCCATTCTTCCAGACGTGGCAAGCGTAATGCCTTGGGCAACTGCTTTTGCTTTGTCCTGTGTTTGCCCCCGGAAGAGACGAGGCTATGACGAATCACAGTACGCCGCTCACGCTTGCCCATGCCTTCTGCCATCTGACGAGCAAGTTCTGCGTCTGCAAGACGCTTCAGCTCTTCTTGTCGTTCCTTTTCGTTCGAGTAATCAATACCGTCGTGGTTTTGGCAACCTCCACCGTCGAGCTTGAAATCGAGCATGTCACCTTTATCGTGAACCTGCATTTTCTGCTTCATCTCCTCTGTGCGTTGCTCACCCTTCGCCAGAATAGCGTCAATATCTTCGTCAGTAATTGTCGAGTCAGTGGTGCGAAATACTTGATCAGCACCGAAACGAATCATTTCAAGCATGTCATTCTTCGTAAGTTTAGCCTGTTTTTCCTGCAAACGACCTTGCTGGACAACCATGGCATCCAGTTTAAGCTTCTGCTGTGCTCGCTCAATGATGTTCTCCTCGACGGAATCAGTAGTTACCAAGCGGTACACATTAACCTCCTTCTTCTGGCCGATGCGATGCGCACGATCCTGAGCCTGTAAATCAGCTTGCGGATTCCAATCCGAGTCATACAGAATAACAACGTCCGCAGTGTACAAATTAATGCCAAGGCCACCCGCACGAGTGGAAAGCAGAAACAGGAACTTCGACGATTCCGGATGGTTGAACTCGTCAATGGAGCTCTCGCGAACCTCATACGACGTTTGGCCATCGATGCGGCAGTACTCATACTGACGCATGCGGCAAAAGTCCTCCATGATATCCAAGACGCGCGTCATTTGGGTAAAGATAAGCACACGAGATCCTCGCTGCTTTAATTTCTTCAGTAGCTTGTCCATCAGCACCATCTTGCCACAGTTTTGCACCACGTGCTCTCCAAGCGGGTCTAGAGAGCGGTCCTCCTGCCCTTCAAACAAGTATGGATGACCACAGCACTTTCGCAACTGCATCACGATATTCTGTAGTGCGCTTCTAGAAACACCACCGGCACCACCCATGACTGTGTTTAAGTCGCGGAGCAAAAGCGACTTGTACAGTACCTTCTGCATTTCGGACATGCCGATGAATAGTAACGTTTCTTTCTTTGGTGGTAAACTCTTTTCGACATCCGCCTTCAATCGTCGAAGCATGAATGGGCGAAGAATTTTGTGCAACTGACTAATCATCTGCTTCTTGGCTTCGTCATCATCCACGTCCAGGTTAAACCAATCGTCAAATTCTTGCGAAGACGCAAATACGTCCGGTAGTAAGAAGTTCAGCAAAGCCCACAGCTCGTGCAAATTGTTCTGCAAAGGTGTGCCTGTAAGCAGTAACCGATGCTCGGTGTCCAGCATACGCACGACGGTGGAGAACTGGGAACTTTCGTTCTTGATGCGGTGTGCTTCGTCAATAATAAGGTATCTCCATGCAAACTTGCATAGTGCCGTCTTCTCCTTCAGACACATTTCAAAAGTTGTCACGCACACATCAAACTTGCGCTTGTCGTCAGGTAATCCAGGACACAGCACCTCGTGCACACATCGTAAGCGCTCCTCCTTGTTGCCGTGAAACTTGATGGCACGCAGCGACGGACACCAGCGTTCAAATTCAGAAAGCCAATTGCTCAGTGTAGACTTGGGTACTAGCACAATGTGGGGGCCTGAGATATTCTCAAATTCGAGAAAGTAAGCCAGCACCGATATCGTCTGCAGCGTTTTGCCTAGCCCCATCTCATCGGCAAGAATACCATTGATGCCCTGATGTGCGAGATTAACCATCCATGTTAGACCTTCCAGCTGATACGCGCGCATCGTGCCAAACTTAATCACCGATGGTTGCTGGGTAAGTCGCACGCCGACGTGACGCGACGAGTCCATCTCATCAATATCTTCACCTGCTTTCTCTTTCTTTTTTTTCTTCTCCTTCTTCGCTTCCGTGTCCGCAGAATCTTTCTCATCTGCTCCAACAGCAAAGCCTGGTTTGTTTTTCTTTTGCACTCGGCCACTAAAGTGGGCAAAAATGTCGCTCTGAGAGAGCAAGTATTTGAGTCGAGCAGACGCAATCGCCGACCTCTTGTCCGCGAGCGCCTCTTTCTGGCGTTTCTCCTCGGCCTTGAGCTCGTCTCGCTCATTCACTTCCTGCTGTCGACTTTCCTGTTTCAGTCGCTTAGCTTCCATCTGCTTCAGCGTCAAAGTACGAGGCTCGCGCTTCAACCGCGTGTCGTCCCGCGTGACGACATTCTGCGCACCATCAAACAGCATAACCCCACCACGTCACACATCACAACAACAAGAGTCAAACGACGCAATCATTCTTGTACAGCATGCACAGCACCTTCTTCCGCTCTCTCTTGCCCTCGACAGTGCTGTACATGTCCTCCCGCCTGCTCGCGCGCTCCTTCTCCACTTGCTCGTCCAGCGCGCGACACACGTCGTCGTACCGCCTCCGGTCAGCAGCCGCTAGCTCCACAAACTCCTCACGATCTGCGCTCGACAGCTGCGCCCAGCGCGCGCTGATCTCTTTCGACAGACGGCCCAGCTCCACGCCCTCGTGTCCGTTGGCGCTCAAGTCGCGCTTGACGTCCTCGAGCACGCGCTTCTGGAACAGCTGGTACGCGCTCTTGGCCTTGACGGGCGCGTGCGGAGCGCTCGTCTCGTTGCTTTGGAACTGCGCCTCGACCGCGACCCAATCGGCGCGGCTCGCGCTCTTTTCGCCGCGCTTGGCCATAGTGGATGGGTGACGTCGGCGAGAGGAGACGGTGAGGTGGTCGGAAGGTTGCGCGAGGTGGGTGGCGGAGATGATCGAGATTGGAATCTCGAGGGTGGAGGGTTTGTGTGATCGGGAGAAATGCCGATGGAAAGATGCAGATTGCAGAATCACTTTTCTGTAGCGTGGAGCGGACTGGAGACACGTTTCTAAAGAGGGAAATAGGCAGGGGGGACGACTGAAAATGGGAGCCCCTTAACCACGCACTCGGGATTCAACAACCACCCATTTTACCCATATATCATTTGAAATTCATAAATGTCTGGCTGATTGATTCAATTTTAAGGTTCCTGATTGGTTTAAGTGGAGTTTCGTGTGACGTAAAACTGAATGCCAATCTCCTCGCAAAGATTGCATCTTTTCTTCTTTGACCTGTACGCCCTTTATTCCACACTTTTTGGACGCCACCACCACGCACTTATACAGACACCCATCCTTCCTAGTCAGTTTATATCGAATGGTTATCTTACCAGCTTGATACCGTCTACGACGCGTGGGAGCAAGATCACCTGGCCTGTGATGAGCATGCAGCAGTCAAAAGCTAGAATCTAGATTCCGTCATACTATGAATCGGTAGGCAACACGAAAGATGAAGCCGTCAAAAAATATGGAAGGTGCAGTCAGACCGATAAGAATGGGCCAGAAATATCGCTGACATTTCCCTTGCGCTAGCGGCTGATTTGCGCGACATTTAGGGGGTACAGCGTCGAGGAAGTCATGTTGCTACCTTTAATCATCGTCGGCAGAACACGTTGCGTGATCTGTCCGGGCGAATGGAGGGCACGCTGTATCCTCTTGGGTGTCATTTTTGTAAAAATCGGGGCCAGCCTGGCCATAACTATTGAGAGTACGCCGACGAGCACCTCCAACACCTCCAGTAAACATTCTTGCAGAAGTAGATGAAGAAGCAGAATAGTTGTTTACTTTAATTCGTTGACGACAAGCATTGCAAGTCTGCAATGATGACAAAGAGATGAATAATCTTGGGGACCATCATGCAAATATTGCCGAAGACACGTGTCAGAATGTTCGATTCGAGCGTTTCATTGTTTGGAGATAAGATTGGAAGATACTTCCGATAACGGAGCCACTATCGATGTAACCAGTCAGAATACTCTAAATCTGATCAGTTTTGACACTGTACAGAGGTGGTGGGTGGCTAACAAAAACCTTGGAGGGGAAACGGCTACCCAAATTAATTGGTGTATTTTGCTATCTCAATCTTGTATTTTTTATGTTTTTATGAAGTGATTTACAAATATGCATACATTTTATATTTGCAGCAATTTGGTCTTTTTTTGGAAAAAATATGATTCAAGAGATGATTAATATTACTATAATTGTGAGTTCGAGGTGTTACGGGATGCCTCCGTTACATGTACTCAAAATTTGTATGCCATTTTGTACGATTGTATATGTCGCAGTGGCAAAACCAGTCATTTGTATGTGAGGCCCCTTACGCTTTGCGAAATCGCAATCGTTAACACACACAGGCTGTTTCTATTAATAAAATACACCACATATCTAAATTGCACCCGCTGATTCGTAAAACTGACTGAGCAGTGGATAAAAGTACAGGTGTACGATATTACCTGGCGCGGAGTGTAGTGTAGATTTCATAAAAAAGAGAGTATTTTTTAATTCAGATAATGCCCGACACAAACTATCATAAATGATCCCCGACGATGTGATACACGCCGATAGCCGGTTGAACGAGTTCATGGTATTGAGAAAGAATATTCGAGCTCCTGTCGCACTAGTTTTGAACGTGCTATCATAGTAAAAGAAGAAAATGGACTACGGAGCGTCTATAAACCCGCAACGGAGTATCAGCTAATCATCTGCTTCACTTCCAATGCCTAATTGCGATAAAGCGTTGATCAATGATGTGAAAAGACGAAGAAATAGAGCTCAATGCCTTGAACGAAGACCAGACCACACAGTGGTTGTGTTAGTACAACGGCCATGTTCCACGAGCGACAGCCGGATCACCTCAGTCTTCTGCTGCCAAAGCTTCCGTTCACGCTTAGTTATCTGGATTTCGATGATTGTGCTGATGGCTGTTCCGGCGGCGATAGTCATTCAGGTGGATTTTACGATGGTAATTCAAATGGCGTGGGATCTTTCACGAATACCTCAAAAGCGAATTGTTTTGTGCTTTTGGGGTCATAAGGAAGTGTCTTGGTGGGCTCGGGTGATAATTCGAACGAGAAAAGATAGCAGTGTTACAGTGCTTCGTTTTTGAGTATTCGGACAAAAAGGATGCAGCAATATGCTATACGTGCACTGCAAATCAATTACAACCACACATGTTACGTACGCTCACTAACGAGAAGTATGATTGCTGCTACTAAAGAGGTGGGTAAGCGATGGGTAACTTTTGGTAGAGTGATGAATAATGCCTCCCTTACTTAAATCTTGACTATGTAAAATTGATAGGAATTCCCTACATACTTTTACGCGCGAAGAAATGCCTTTACTTTGTTCTCCCTCTTCAGTCTTCGTCCAAGTGTATAACTCGTTTGGATTTCTTGACCTTGATTGTAAGAATGAAACATCCGATCTTCATGGGCATCACTTTTTTTTTCCAGTCCGACTCCAGCGTCTTGTTAAACAAAGACACCACGTCATTCGAGCTAGAAGGATTGAACACAACGCAATGGTTGTTACTGCATGGACCTGAAAGGTGCATTCCCATTCGACAACCATCGTTCAAGATCTCACCAAATTGAAAGCTTGTTATATAATTCTGTGACACACCGATAATGTACGACAAATATTGTCATCACTACGACTCGCATGTAGAGAAGGAGTAGTTTTTGTGAATGGTTTGTAGCACTCCTAAATACGACATATCGTTAGGCCAATTGCATGGTCTCGAATTTAAGACAAGCTCTGAGACTTGGTACCCACTGCCACTCTGAGCCAATCTAGCACCGAAGAACTGCAACAGAATTTCTAATCTAACGCGAGCTGACGTTTGTAAAAACTGAATGCGATACGTGAATCCCCTTTTCAATCGTTAAATACGGGACATGATTCACTGCCTCCTTCTACGCGCGTGGCAGGTACACAGAGATATAGTGGAGAGCCATGTTAATAGGGGAGAGGGCAATCGGTTGTCCAGTATCCCTGGCGTCGTGGCACGTCAGCACATGCATTCACTTAAATATCGTTACCATCTATTACAGCATGGTTATTTACCACACGTACTTTTGCAAAGCTCAATAAGGAAAAGGGTGATCAAGGGGTCATGAAGTCTTTTATCAGCGTGCAACTATCGTACTGTGATCAATCAAGATTTTCAGCACCAAAAATTTGCTGATGGTCAAATGGGTAGCACTTGGGTGACCCAATCGAGGCGAGAAATGGTGTCCCATCAGAGCGGTGCTGAAGTAATTCATGAACCAATGAAATAGATCAATTACACTGCGTCATGTTCATGGTAAACGTGAGTTCGGTTTTTGTGGTGCAACTCCTGCGAAAGTGAGAGGGAATCGTACTACTCCGGGACAGATACTAGGCCTGGAAATTAAAGGTGGCAGAGGCACTCATACTGGAAAAGCTGTGTTATAAATGGCAAAAGCTCTCATGGGTTTGTTCTGGCTGCGCTTCATCACAAGTTTAACATGATTTCAATAGTATCAAATACGAGAAGTCGTGCAATGGTGTGTTAGAACTTCTGATCTAATGACCACATGGCAACAGAAGGGACGCAGTGATGATTCCGGAACCGTTTCTTCATCTTATTTGGCAATAAAAACCTGCCATCAGCTCCATCACTTACATTGCACATAGCACATGACGTTCACAATGTCTGACCTGTTTCGTTTACATCAAATTTGGGCACTGCCTGTTTGCGAATACAAACACTCGCATCACGGGAAATGCGATGGACGTCACTGTCGTCATCAGAGAAAGGTCGGCAGCTTCAGTTTTTGTTCCGAATGGGGTCCGCTTTTCGATTGTTGGTGTTGGCCGATCGATTGAGCATTCGAAATACAGCAGAGTGCTTACAGTTCGATTTCAATTCCGCCCAATGGTGCCCTCACCTCAACGACACCTTTGTTTGATTGTACACTGTTTCTAACAAACTCTATCTAACTATGACAACGTAGTTATTGACGAAACCCTCTAAGAGGTTATCACGTTGCAGGCTACAACGCCACCCGAGTGTTTGACGCAGCTAACGACACCGTTTCAGGCGTACTCGCCTCGTTGGCCGTGTAGGCTATGCAAAAATGGAGCAGCTTTCAGATACAAAATAAGGCATACGTACGGACAAACAGCTCCTACTAGTGGTGTAATCAAGGCATGTATCGAGCACGTAACATTGTACTCTCTCGTGATCATACGTACATCATGTTTTTACGGTCCACGAATCAGTTCACAACCTGTGTGACATCGATTGTCTACCACCGTATTGCTGTGTGTGGCGTTCGGTTGGTGATCGAATATTAGCTTCTAGACGTCGTTCTAGTCGCATTTCTCGCGTACAGTCTGTAAATTATGTGTGCTTGCTTCGATCGTATCTCCGAGACAACCTCCACCAGGAAATCTTTAATCTCAATACCACACCAAAGGTAGGCTCGTGCTTTGTACCTCGCACGATCTCATTGACGTAAATCAGCGCCTCGACCACTTCAACAGCAAGTGCCCTCCATAAACTAACTAAAGCACTATCTTTGCAGTACACCCGTTAAGGCGGTACGTCTCCCCCAATCGCTTTCAAGAGGGACAAACCAACGTTGAAGAAACTCCACTGCTCGCAATCAACACTTTGTTCGCCCGAGGTATCCGAAAGTCGCGATCATGGACAGCCCCGCCGCATCTTTGCACGCCAATAACACGGAAACGACGACGCAAACCGACGCTGCAGTGACCGCCGTCTCGGCCCGATGGGATCCCTGCGCCTCGCACAGCGACTGCGACTCGTGTCTGAACGCCAGTCTCACGTGCCACTTTTGCCCGAGCGATTTCCAGTGCCACGCCATTGGGTCTCCATTCGGATGCCCCGTAGGAGTCTCAGTCTGCCACCGTCTTGAAGGTGATTGGGTGTTGGAGTAGCTGATAAGGATGGGGGGTTGCTGTTTGCTTGATGCCTAAGCGGCTTTTGTCCACCTGTTTTTGTCAAGTACAGACTGTCAGCGACCCGAGCCGCAGTACGTGGGCTACGGACCGCCGCCTTCAGTGGTGATTGCCGTGCTCTGTCTTATGGTGACGCTGACTTGCTGTTGCTGCGGCGTTTCGGCTATTTGCTCGGTGTTTTGCCGAGCCAAGAAGGCGCCGACACGACGCGCTGCAGTTGCGGCTGCGCTCAATGAGAGCGTGCGGGAGAAAGATAGAAGACGGAACCTTACGTGCGCGCTGCATTCTGTCGATTCACATCGTAGCGCGTAGCTGGCTGCTGACTTGATTGTTTCTGTTGTTGTTGTGTGTCTTTGCGTTGTTGCTGTTACTTCTGGTTGCTGTTTTGTATGGTTGTAGAGACGAAGAAGAACTTGCACAAGCTCAGAGACAGCCTCTGCTTCTCGGCGAGATTCGAGAGGGAGAAGTTCGTCTGTTCGAGAACGAGGTGGACCAGGAGTCACTAGAGCGCCTACACACCCGCTACGAGGCAGACGAGAGACTGACGAACTGGCGCGGAGTAGCTGCGCGGGTCACGTGGCTCACGCTGCTTATTACGACGACTGTACTGGCGCTCATGTTCTACCCACGAATGCCAGACTACAACGTGTGCAACCGAGAGTTTGAGTGGGAATCCATCCTACATAGTATCATGGGCTTAGAGCCAAAGGTGGAATATCAGGTGCTTGTGAGCGTGATCAACGAGAACCGCTTCGGTTTCGTGCTCGAATCAGGACGCGCTGATATTTACCACAAATCCACTCTGGTAGGCAAGTGGGAGCTCGACAAGCCATGGAAAGCTAAAGCCGGCTCTATCAGCGATAAAATCGCGGGAATCAATATCAAGCCCGGATTCGCTGAAGGCATTGCGTTGTGGAAAGATTTTAGCAAGAACGAGCTTGTTTTTCGCATAAATGCTACGATCACGGGGTCCATCACGTGGGGTCGCTACAAGGTATGACACGTGTTCAGCATTTCACGAAAGACTTGACGTCATTGATGTTTGTTGGTTGATGAGACAGATTTACCGCATTTCATCCTCAACGCCGGATGTCGAGTTCCTCGTTGGAGCGGAGTACGATCGCGGACTTTGCAAGTGCACCGAGTATCTGACACCAACGTAAGCTAATGCCCCTTCGGCTGCCTCTCGTGTTTTGCGAGCGTTGCGGACGGTAGAGGCTGGCAGCTCATACCGTATTATTCAGAAGCCTTCTGCAGAAGAAGACGAGTTATAGGGATGGGATGCATGTTGTGCAGAGCTCGGGTGTCGTATGGACGCGTTTTGTGGTTTGCTGTTGCTCAACCAAACATGCCCATTCTTTCCAATTAGATGCTTCCACTGGGTCGATAAGAAATCATGTCACCCCCTCGCGCCGTGAAGACCTTCTTCAGCATCTCGTCTGCACACGCCATACGGGCTCGCTCGGGTGTCACGGGACTGTGCAGCTCAAAATACCCATGATGGCCAGCGTCTTCCCTGGCCGCGTAAATTGCGTGTTTAACGGCAAAGAAAGCGCTGGACCCCAGGAAAAGCGGGGGCTCTCCGACTGCCTTGCTTGAGTGCACTGCAAACTTGTTCTTCCGATTTGACTCTAGCCATACATGGAAATCTAGCGGCACGTCGTTGGCGCTTGGGATTTTATACGCACCGGGACCTCGAGTAAACAGGTTGCCTCGTCTCACCCATGGGTGCTGATCATCACCCCACACCAGCTCCTCCAACGCGAACAGACCAAATCCTTGCATGAATGCACCTTCAATTTGGCCGATGTCAATAGCGGGATTGATGCTGGCACCAAGATCCATTAGGATGTCGACGCTTAGCATGTGGAAATCACCAGTAAGTACGTCTAACTCCACCACGGTGCAGGCTACGCCGGTGGTGAAGTAGTTGAATGCCGTACCGATCGCAACATTTTCAGCAACTGACTTCGTGAAATCGTAGCCACAGCGATCGTTTGAGACGATATAAAACCCTTGGGCGGACATGTTGATGCGCGCCATGTAAGCGGCATTCGTGACATCACAAAATGGTGCGTCCGGACCTAAGCGCTCGCGTATGGGAGCGAGGCGTGCAAGTATCTGCTCACACGCGTCTAGCGTTGCCATCCCATATAAATCAGTGCTCATAGAAGCTGCGGACGGTTGTGAATTTGGTACCTTATCCGTTGACGTATCCTCAATATGTATCTGCTCGTGTGGAATGCCAAAGGCCAATGCTGTAACCTGAATTACCTTCGTGTGGAGACCTTGACCCATTTCGACGCCACCATGGGACACCAGCACACTCCCGTCCGCATAGACGTGTACTAGAGAGCCGCCTTGGTTCATAAATTTTGCGGTAAAGCTGATTCCAAATTTTGACGGCAAAATCGATATGCCGCGCTTTTTCCAGCGGTTCTTCTGGTTAAATGCCTCAACATCCGCTTTCTTCGATTCAAATCGACTACGACCGATTGTGTGTTGCCACAGCGTCCGCAATTTAAAATCCTCGAGGGTCTGACCAAAGTGCGTACTTTGGCCCTCATGGTACATATTGCGCGACCGAACCTCTTCAGGAGGGATCTTTAGGGTGCGTGCAATGTGGTCGATGTACGTCTCCGCAACAAAAAGACCTTGTGGGCCGCCAAAACCACGGAAGGCGGTGTTGGTGGGGAGGTTGGTTCGGCAGAGGGTGCCATTGCAGCGAAGGTTTGGAATGCTGTACGCATTGTCGCAATGGAAGAGCGCGCGATCCATCACTGCCAGTGAAAGATCCATGGAGTAGCCCGCATTGTTGTATATGTCCACGTCTAGCGCCAAGATGGTTCCATCGCGCTTGATACCGACCTTGTATCTCGTGTAGAACGGGTGGCGACCCCCTGTAGTGAGCATGTCTACGTGGCGTTCCAGCATGCACTTGACTGGTCGCTTCATGACGTAGGCAGCGACGGCAGCGGCGCATGTAACGAATACAGAGCGAGTCTCTTTGCCTCCGAACCCACCACCAATACGCTTCGTCGTGCTCGTGATTCGATTCGAATTAATACCCAGTACACTCGCTGCTAGTACTTGTGCCTTAGTTGCAGCTTGTGTTGATGATATAATCTCCATCCCACCCTCCTTGGGAGTGCAGACCGAAACGTTGGTCTCAAAATAAAACTGCTCTTGCCCACCCATATGCACCTCTCCCTCAAGCACGATGTCAGATTCAGCTATTCCCTTCTCCACATTTCCGCTGTCAATGGTATGCACTGGAAGAATAAATGACTTCTCACGGATGGCGTCCTGAATGGTCATGACAGAAGGCAATTCTTCGTAGACAACCTTCACTCTGTCTGCGGCTTTCATTGCCAATTCGTGCGAGTCTGCAACAATTATGCCAATGGGTTGACCGACACATACTACCTCTTTCGACGCAAAACATTCCTCATCTTTTAGGACAGGACCAATTTTGTTTGAACCAAGCTTCTCGGTCTCAAAAACGGATGCATCGAAGAAACGATGCACACCTTCCATCGCAAGCGCCTCATTAGCATCGATGCCTCTAATTATAGCGTGAGCGCAGGTGGACAGGACCAAAGCACCATGAAGTGTTCCTAACGTGCTTGGAATATCGTCTGTATACTCTGCTTCACCACTCACTTGCACATACGCCGATTTGTGCATGAGCGGATCTCCTACTGGCCCACGCGTCGAGTTTTCGTCACCCACTGGTTGATGTTTTGAGTCCAGAAGCCCACCGGTCTCTATACCGAAGCTCTGAGATCCGTGAGAAACCGGGCGAGCTTGATGCAAATATGATTCGCCTGCAGATTGCAAGTTATCATCAATAGAGGGTGCTTCTGAGCGCACTAAAGCATTGTCCATTGTCGTCTGCACATCGTGCTCAAGACGCAGTGATGACGCTACGAAGAATTTGTACAAGAACGATGCGCACAAACTCTCCCTGTACTTCGCCATTCCACCCGGTACACCATCGGGGAGCTCAAAATCACTGAGGAGTAATGTGTCACAAGCCTCATCGAATGTAGAGACATTGAACAACTTACCAACGAGATACTTTTCCGTTTCTGATGCTGACTTAGTGATCGGTGCCATGCCACCATACACGGCCGATGCCTCTGCAATGGTCCAATCTCCAGTCTGTCGTGAGCACTCTAGTCTCACCCGAATCCCTGCGGTCACTATACTGATGTCATCCTCGCGACGACGAGCCTGCTTAAATGAAAGCACATATTCCCACTTCTTCGTATAAGGCACGTACACGCCAGTGATCACCTCGTCTGGCACTATTCCAACCTTGCGATAGGAAATGAAAAAATCGCGCACCCGGGCAAATCTTACTCCTCGTGTAGACTGTAGTTCAATGTAAGCATTCATTGCTGCAAGCAACGGGTTCATGTCCGAGATCGGACTGGCTGTGACGAGGTTTCCTGCAATACACGCCACGTTTCTGATGTGTGTGCTCGCAAACCACTTGAGCATCTGGACAATCGCCTCAAATGCACGTGTTTGATACGGCGGCAATATCCCGATCAGCTTTGACAAATGTTGCTTCACCTCCGTAAGAGTCACAGCCGCGCCAAACTTGACGCCCTCGAATGTTTCAGCGTCCGCAAAAATTGTCTGATTAATACGATCAGTCGACTTCACGTTTCCCGAGGCCAAAAGTTCTGGGATGCGGCTAACATTGATCAAATGCCTGTACTCGCAACCTTTGAATTTCGTTTCGATCCCCATTTCAGTGTTGCCTACCGAGATCTTGGCATCGGGATGTCGGCTCTTGATTTCCAGCAAGTGGGCCAGTGTAATAGGGGCAAACCACTTGATACGGTCACTGTCAATATGCAAAACCTTAGGTGTTTTTGCCGTCTCAACCAATTCAGTCGGAAACGACCATCCCATCTGCTCTGCCCCCTCTATTTGTTCACTCTTTGTATCACCAACAACTTCACCTTCTTGATGTTTGCGCTGCTGGGCCAGCACTCGAATCTTACGAGACGAGCAGCTCGTCACCATCTCCGGCGAATTGCCATAGAGATCCTCTATCTCCACTTCTGCCTCGCCGCTTCCCACTTTGCGTGGACATCCTAAACACGTCCCCTTGCACTGAGCTTCACTAGCATCATCACCAAAGCTCTTGGCAGCATCAAGAATTGGACGATAGCCCGTGCAGCGGCACAAATTGCCATCCAAGTTGTGCTCAATGTCATTCATCGTGAGCTCCTCGCCTGTTTCTCGCTGCTTGACCATAGCGTATAGTGCCATGACAAAGCCAGGCGTGCAGTAGCCACACTGAGAGGCGTGCGACTCGGCCAGAGCTTTCTGTACTTCGTGCAGACCATTGGCGTCCCCTCCTGGGCCTGTGATAGCGCCCACGCCTTCCACAGTCGTGACGGCGCACATGTCCATAGCACAGAGTGGCGATAAGCACGAGTTCACCGACATGTGACGCACGCGACCAGACGATACGGGGAAACTGGAGACCATGACCGTACAAGCCCCACAGCCGCCTTCGCCACAGCCGAGTTTGGTGCCCGTGAGCTGGAGATCGTTCCGCAAGAACTGAAGCAGCGTCTGCTCCGGCCGCACGTCCTTCTCAGCAACTTGAATGCGCTTGCCATTGACGTACAAGATCAAGTCGTGGCGCACATCGTGCGTGGCTGTGAGCGCAGACGACGACATGCTGTGTGCGGGTGCCGAGAGGGACTTGAGGTCTCTGCTGCAACTTGAAGAATGAATGCAACGGAGGCGCGGAGTGAATGTCGATCTATTCTCAGGTGGTGACTGCACGCAGAGAAATGCCTGGCTATGTGCGGTTAAAAAGACCGCTGGTTTTCCTCCGTCGGTCGTGCAATATGACAAATAGGGGGGTTACAGCTGATCTCTTTTTTGTACTGAAAATTGAAAAACCGTGAGCTACAGTTCCCTGTGGGCTAACTTTTAGTCTCGAAGCAAACACTTCCTATCAGTTATCAAATGCTGTCAGGTATTAGGTTATTCCGGTGTATCACACATACTATGACAAAAATGGAGCTGGTAAAGAGCCTTCAATTTTCGCAAATGGGCCTTCACCCCATACATCAAACAAGTAATTGGATTTTACGCCCTGTCAAAGTATTTTGTTGTATTTCTTAGAAAAATCAGTTACTGATCTCATAACACCAGCCTTCTGTAAATTAGGCACTTTGTGATGTTATGCCAAATTTGCCTAATTAAAAACTCAGCTAGTGCCTAATCTGAAAGTATCAATTCTATGTGACGTGTAGTTTTCTAATCGTTCATTTCTCAAGTAGCCAGGCCAAAGGAAATAAACAAGGAGGAAATGAACTTGCCCGGCCAAGGCTCAGTGAAGAACAACTGTATTACACCTGACAGCTTTGATTAATTGTTCCGATGCAATTTTTCTGGTTTTTACTCTAACCCACCCCCCTCTAACTATTTGTTTTTCTCTTGGCTCCAGCGACCCCCCTGTCCCATCCCCACATCTCCCTTTCACGGGCTTTTATTTTATTTTTATTTGCTGAATAAAATGAAATTTCTAAATAAATAATTAAAATACAATTAATTTTAACATAGAAACCCTTGGATTAACGGTTGCCCTTTACATGATATTGACACCAAACGGTGTCAATAAGGCGATTGTCAAGCGCGACAATCTCCTGCCAATATTACCCGAGATGGATAATATTCATGCGCTGCTCAAACATTGGTTGGTATGAGACTTATCAACCATAGATTGCCACCAATCGATGCTAGACGCGCGCAATGAGTGGCGAGCAGGTTGTCGTCATACGACGACGTAGTTTAATATAGTTAGATAAAGAATGAAGTTGTATTGATACCTTAACCATATTAAAGACAGTTCTCTTTTTACCCTTACTCAACCTAGCTGTTGAGTAGATTAGCTTCCTCTGCACGTACTAGTATACGTATGGTTTCATGGCGCCCAGACAAATGGTGCCCCATTACACCTGGTAGCACTTCGTAGTCCGTCCAACGACTACTTAGTGTCCTTCCAACATGAACATGTTGGTCGTAGAAGACGACATCTTTCACGTCACGTGTGAAGGCTACTCCCATCCGAGTTACTCAAATGGGAGGTAGTCGGCCGCATAAGTGTGCTCCTGGGCGAACCCTTCATCAGTGACATGTTGGAGTCTCTAATCAGAGACCAGCATCATGCCGCTTTTAACAAGTTCCTACAAGGCGAACTTGCTGTTGGAAAACAGAAGATAGCCTTGCTACAACAAAAGGCTCTCATCAGTCGATGGGCAGGCCGACGCACATGCCTAGACCCAAAACCTCGAAGATAGACATCTCAAGGTGCAAGGGAACTAACAAAGATTCTCGTTTGAGATGGTTCGACGAGTTAGACGACGCCATCACGGCCCGTCACATCGAGGGTGACGAGATGAAAGTCACCTTCTCCCTGTCAAATTTGGTAGGACGAGCAAATACTTGGGCATTAGGGCTCAAGCTTTACGACTTTAACGTGTTTGAGTCGTTGGAAATCTTGAAGTCTCGGCTTAAAGAGACGTTTGAGCCTCCGAGAGCCGAGTTCAGAGCACGCTCTGCACTCCTGAGGCTCAATCAAGGTAAGCGTAACGCAAATACTTACGCACAACACCTGCGCTACCTTGCAAGTAGCGTTACGGAGAACCCTGTTGATGAGCACACGCTCATCAACGTGTTCATCTACGGCCTTGTGGATGGGCCGGTGAAGACCTACATGTTCCGAGAGGATTTCCATACGCTGGAAAGGCGATAGCGTATGTGGAACAAGAAGACTTTAGCCTGAGACAGTCTTAGGCTAACTCGTCCAACTATCGTCCGATGAGGCGACAGGAAACAGGAGGTCCCGAAATGACGAACCTCTGTTATGTCGAAAGCAAGAAATCTCGCTCTCAGAGTCACAAGCGAACGGCAAGATGCCATCGCTGTCCAAAGATTGGACACTACGATCATGAGTGTAGTGTCCCAAGCACAGCATCACGTCCAAAGACAGGACGTGATGACCGCTGTTGACCGAGAAAAGGTCCAAGGCGTGGGTTCGACCATGTCGCTAAACCGCGACAGCAAGTCGGACCGCCAAAAAACGGTCAGGGTCAGTAGGGGCGGAGCACCCTGCTGATCCAGCAACGTCAAGAGAATTTTCAGGACTCTTGACGAAGATTGCTCCCAACACACAGTTGCTGTGTGTTACTAACCCTAGTGATGAGGAGTCTCTCATCACTTTGAAGATCAAAGTGACAAATGGAGTGTCACTTCGCGCCCTAGTTGACTGTGGGGCGTAGAATAAAACTGTTCGACGCCAGTCGCTAGATGATAGTAGGCTCAACCATGTTGAGAGAGAGTTCCCTCCAACGAGGATGACGGTGTGCCTTGCTACAGGCGCATCCGTAACAGTGAATAAACGTGTATTCGGAATCCACTTCACGCTAGAAGGAAGGCAGGACGCTGATGAATCTATCATGCTGGATCTGGATGACAAATTTGGTGTCATCCTCGGTCTGCCATGTCTTATAAGGTACGAGCCATGGATCAGCTGCCAACACCGATCCGTGAAGATGCCTGCCGTTTGTTCATCAGATGGCAATCTGATGAACGTCTTGGAGCGTCCACAAGCGTGTTGATGTACTACGAGTGAGTGCGATGGCCTCAATTGTAATACGGTCATTAGTACGACTGCAAAAGATCACAGTGTAGAAGGCCTCTACACTTTAGAACCAGCTTCCGGCACCTGTGTAGAGACACAGGATGCGCCGAAGGTTCACCACTCGAAGAAATCGAGTGGACTGAAACACGGATGCACACCAAGAAGGGTGCATCCGAGAAGAGAGATTAGTGTTGTTCAGGATGGACAACACGTTGAAGCGAGATCGACTATCAGAGAGTCGATCGTAGAGCAAGCCCGCTCGACTGAAAGAGAGTCGATCGAAGAGGACGTGACCGTGATAGTACCCGTAACGGAAGAAAATTCCAGCGTTCCTGAGAGAAATAACTCTTGAAAGAGTTATTTTGAGGGTGTGGATTATCAACCACCTGTGGATGTGTTTTCCCAGGAAATCACCGAGACGGTGGATTTATTGGTGATTGACGGATCAAGTATAGGCGCTTATGCACTTGATCTGGTGACGCCCCCGAAGTCAGCTTCGGAGGTAGTCAAGTTGCCAACGCTAGAATCTAAAATATTCTTGCGATCCGTGTAGTGACAAGATCAAGCAATCTGCGTACTCGTCTCAGAGGACGAGCACGTCGCCGATATTCGGTTGGCACAATTGTTTGCTGAGAACGAACGGGTTCTCAGTAGTTCATCGGTGGACGAAAGTGTCCTCGATGAGAAGACCCGGATTGAGCGATACACGTCTCAATCTTGGGGGTCCTTGCAGACAAATCCTTTGTATAAGGCTTTGGTGGAATTTAGGGATGTTTTCCCTGAATCGGTGCCATGCGAGCTGCCCAAGGACAAAGGCACACAACAAGAGATCTAGCTGAAACCCGGTGCGAAGCACTGTGTCATGAAGCAGTGGCCACTGCCTCGTGAACAGGTCACAGCGATCGACAAATTCTTTGCCGATCGTTTAGCGGCTGGTCATGTGAGGGAATCAACATCCTTACACAGCTCTCCGACCTTCTGTGTGCGAAAGGCAACAGGAGGGTGGCGGATAGTGCACGCGTTCAACAAACTGAATGCTGCAACGGTACCGGCTCAAACACCGATCCCAAGGAAGGACGTCATCATAGATGGTATGGCAAAAAGTATCATCGTTTCGTCCATGGATCTGATGGATGGATTCTATCAGGTCCACGTGCGTGAACGGGACATCCCGTGCACAGCAGTGAGAACCCTTAGTGATATGCTCTGGGGGTGGATAGTGATGCCACAGGGGCTAAGTAACGCCCCTGCAACGTTCAATAGATGTGTTACAAATCTGTTGCGATAGGCGCGAGACTTCGCTCCGAGTTACTCTGTCGATGTCGTCGTCCATATCCGGGCTATGGATGGAAATACGGACGTGACGGACGTGAAGGCTCATAGAATCCACGTCCGGAAGGTTCTTACACTAATGCGAGAGCATAAGTCGTTCGTAAACCTCAAGAAGCGTGTATTCGCAGAGAACGAAATACCACTTCTTGGATCGATCGCATGTAAAAACGGCGCACGCCCTGATCCGGACAAGATCAAAGCGATTAGCGACTGGACTGTGCCAGTCGACGTCAAGGAACGTCGAAAGCTCCTTGGCTTAGCGGCATACTTGCACATGCACTCGCGCAACTACGCCAAGATGACCGTACATCGCTCTCGTCTGCTAAAGAAAAACGAGAGGTGGTCATGGAGCGCTGAGTGTCAGCACTACTTCAAAGCTATCAAGAAAATATTGATACAATCGCCTGTTTTGGCGATTGCCGACCAGGACAGACCATTCCATGTGGTCTGTGACGCCAGCGATTTTGCGATCGGCTGCGCGTTAATGCAGTACGACCCAGACGGCGTTGAGCGCGTCGTCTGTTATCAATTGCGTCAGCTGCAAGCAGCTGAGCGTAATTACCCGGTGCATGACAAGGAACCCCTTGCCATGAAATATGCACCGGCCAAGTTTCGGGTATATCTCTTAGAAGATAGGCCCTTCATCGTTTATACCAACCATGCGTCATTATGCACGGCCGTAAACAGTCCATACCTCTTGCAACGAATGGCGAGGTGGATGTATTTCTTCGCGGAGTACAACTTCTCCGTCTAGTGTAAACCAGGACGACTTAATGTCGTCTCTGATTCGCGTCTCCTGTTTCGCGTCGGCCCGATTTCGAGCCGACTGCTCAACACAACAGTAGGGGTGATCCCACTGAAGCGACGCTAACAGTGAGTGTTCCATCGTCGAATCTGCCCGACGACGTGCGAGAAGCATACGCAGAAGATGAGTCTCTTCTGCGATTGATGAATTACGTATCCAATCCATGCAGTCAAGCTTTGAAAAGCTTGTCGTCTCAATACCGCTCCTCAACCGAACGGTATTTGGTTCGTGATGGACTGCTGTACTATACAGCAGTCAAAGGCGACAAGCCTCGTGTCGTCGTTTCGACTCATGATGATTTGCGATTGCGCATCATGTATGAGTATCACGATGCCCCAACAAGTGGGCATCGCGGTAGAGAAAAGACTTGCCTCACGGTGAGTCGTGACTTCTACTGGCCACGCCAGTATGAGTTTGTGCGCAAGTACATTCGCGCTTGCTAAGTTTGCAAACGGGTGAAGCCTAGTCCTTCATCCTGTGCACCCTTGCAGCATCTTTCGACTCCGGCAGAGTGCTGGCAGTCCGTATCGATGGACTTCGTATTCGGGTTTCCCAAAGACGTTCAATAGAATACGGGTACACTTGTGTTTGTTGATCGGTTCAGCAAGATGGTAAATCATTTGTTGTACCGGAGTCAATCACAGCTCAGGACTGTGCTAGTGTCTTCATCGATACAACCTTTTGACTTCACGGGTTACCTTGTGAGCTCGTGTCTGACAGGGACCCCCTCTTCACAGCGAAGTTATGGCAATCAGTGTTCCGTTCACTTGGAAGATGTTTGAACGATGTCAACTTCTGACCATCCAGAAACGGATGGTCAGGTGGAACGCGTCAACCGCGTCCTCAAAGAAAGGATTCTAGGGTATGTCCACTCGTTTACGAGTTGGAGTGAGTTCTTTCCGATGGCGGAATTTGCCATCAACAACTCGGTGCATGCGTCGACAACGCGTACACCGCTCTTCGTGAATGGCCTACGCCATCCACGCTTACCCGCCTTCTTAGAGTGTGACTTTAGTTCAAGGGGGGGGTGACCACACTCGAACGAAAACCGATCTGGTTCGTGCTCATCACCCGTCGACAATGGTGTCGATGTGAGGGATGCCGATGTCGATGCGATCGACATCGATGATGATGATGACGAAGATGCTGGTATATTCAGCATCGCCAACGACTGCCACAGTGAGGACGATGACGTTCTCACTGGTGAAGACAACGTTTTTCAGCAGTGCACACGAAGCGCACTGATGTTGACAAGGATGAATCAGCAGAGAAATTTCTGCTGACTCGCGAAGCGGTTGTCCGCTTCGTTCAAGACCCAATTGCAGACGCAATGGACAAGCAGAAGAGAAACGCACACAAACATGGAAGAGCAAATGTTCTTTCATTTGATGATAAATACTATTTTCTGCTTTCTACAGTAAATCTACTGAAACACGCAGTGCCAAATGTGGGCAGCAGTAAATTACTGCCCAAGTGTATCGGTCCATTTCGTGTGTTGCGCCGAATGGGCAACGCATACACTATAGAAATGCCCCGTAAGATGCGTACGCTCACCACATTTACGCCAGACGTCTCCGCCCGTACTATCAGTACGAGCCCGTTTCGAGATGCGAAGAACACCTCCGCGGTCGATAGCCAAGACCGCCTTTGAATGGTCCCGTTTAACGAGCCAGTCTGGTCGAATAGCGAAGCGACCTGCTCACGCAGGTGAGCGGTGTCTCGACGAGCTGCAGCCAGCTCGTCACGAGGTGAACGAGTCAAACATTCGTTCTCAAGTTGTGCAAACGCAAACGCGGAACGATCGTCCGAGCCATCGTGCGCTAAGTAATTGTAATAATTCTTTACAAGATCATGGAGCTCATAACGCCGAGTCCGTTCATGAGCCAGGTCATCTTGTAACTGTTCCGTTTCACGGTTCAGCTCTTGTACGTCAAGCTGATCCGACCCTTGAGCCGGATCAGGTGTTTCCGCCACCACCACATCCTTTGGTAGATTCTGGCGGTGGTCGACGCTTTCTGGTTGAGCGTATCTTGAACCACCGCGACATGAATGGCGTCCGGACGACTTACCTCGTCCGTTGGCGTGGCTATCCACCAGCGTGGGACAGCTGGGAGCCTCGTGCCCAGCTGATTGTTGATGTTATCGGTCTCGTCGTGCAATATGACTAGACCGACCTGCTACGTTCGAAGAAGAGCCATCGAATAACGACCTCTTCGAACGCGAGTACAGGGATTGCAAAGTGTCAATCCCTTCGGCCATCTCAGAAGAGATGCGTGCCTTCCGGTATGGAAAATTAGGAAGGGAGACCTCCCTAGGGGCACGAATCGCATTGTCCAGGCAACTTGAACACGAGTCACCCCACGAAAGACAGGGTAATCCTGTCTCTCTTGACAGTCAGTGCAACTTGCATCGTACACCGGCTATGTTGCGCTTCTCAAACCTGATGTGAGCTGCATCAAATTCACCAAGCCAGGACTCACGAACAATGCACTCGATGTTATGGATAAAGGCATTCCATCCTTGCACGAATGCCTTATCGTCTCGACCACGGTTTCCATTGTACCACCATGTTTGAAAAACGCATCGGGGAAGAGCTCTTCCTCAGCACAGATAGTTTTCGTGCTGGAAATCAGGGGACAGATCCTCCTACAGTCTAACAACGGGATTCGATAACGTTCGGTGGTCATTCTGGCCTCTCAATCTAACTCTTTGGATAATATTATCCAAGAAGACTTCACTTGTGGATCATGTCGCAGAACATTGCGGTCCCTGGTCTCTTAAGTGGTGTCAGCACGAGCACTGATACCAGTATCAGCTCGATCCCTCGAGTCGGTTCTCTCGTGGTGACGCATAGGTGCGTCACCACCATCATTTCACCACCACGCATCCTATTGCCAGATTGAATTGCGCGAGACGAGGATTCGTCAGACGAATCGCTCGGTCCAAAGATCTCAAACCTGATGCCGCCACAATTCCAGATCCAGTCAACCTGTCTCTTGCAGTGTCCGCCCTGGGTGATCCGGAAGCGGGAGGCGCAGCCTTCGAGTCGGATGCATCATCTGACTCGCCAGAAAAGATGAGCTCTATTTTAGGATCATCCGCATTACGATCCACAGCACACGCTGCAGATGCAGCGGATATATCTGTTGCACGTGGTGACTCACCACGTAGACTATTTACGAAAGGCACCGCCTGTTGCTAAATTGCAAAAGCAGGCGAATGATAACCTGCTGCTGAAGCAAGAAGAGAACTCTATTCGGCTTCACGCAAGCGTGCAACCGCCTTTCTTGCTGCTTCGGCAGCACACCGCACGGACTTTGACGCCATGCGACGAATTGACGAATGAGTTGAAATTTGGCTAACAAGTGATCCCCTTCCCAGGTTGATCCAACGGTGGTCACCCTGTCCAAATCAGTTAAATTCAATTAAAAGGTGATTGATAAAGAAGGTAGGGGGGTGATGTAACGGGGTAGCCCGTCATATGATATTGACACCAAACGGTTTCAATAGGGAAATCGTCTAGCGTGACAATTCCTTACCAATATTATCCGAGATGGATAATTTTCATGCGCTGCTCAAAGATTGGTTGATAAAGACATACTAACTAAGGTTACCACCAGTCGCTGCAAGACGCGCGTAATGAGTGGTGAGCAGGTTATCATCATACGACGGCGTAGGTTAATATAGTTAGGTAAAGACTGAAGTATTTGATAGCTTAGCTATATTAAAACCAGTTCTCTTTTTACCCTTTACTCATCTTAGTCGTTGAGTAGACTAGATTCCTCTGTAAGTACGAGTGTACGTGAAGTTACGTGGCACCCCAAACAAAGGGTGGCCTGTTACAGAGTTTATCTGTTCGGGTGTCTTATATGTTGAGTCCGAATCGAAAAATACACCTAGGTCACCCGAGTGTATAGGGACGGTCAAAGGTGAGGCTATGAAAAGGACTCGATCAGGTTGCAAGGCTTATGATCACTACAAGTGCCTGCTTAAATCAAAGAATGAACTTGCTGACTTATCCCCTGCGCCTGATACTGCGCATTCGCCTTCTAGCGAACGCGGTGATGACTTCCCGTCGTGATGACGATTATGGTGGTCTCAAGACTCCGTTAGTACTACACAGAAGGCTCTATACGCCAATGTGCTCCGTCTAGCCCCGAACACAAGCCTTAAGTATTCTTAAAAGACTTGTGAATGACTTGTCAGGATAGAAAAGTCTCTATCATGGAATTCCATGATTCGATTTAAAACTGTTGCACAGCGTCGACGTCAGCACGAGCAACTTTCGCGCTGAAGGATACTCTTTTTAAATAAAAAGAGTCTTCTTAAGCTCGAAAGTTATCTAGATACTTTTCTGAAGTTTTTTGTGTGTAGTGATTACAACAAGCGAGACAAAATCTCGTTGCTACAGGCGTCGAACAGGTTTGTAATCAGTCTGCAGCACATTGGGTGCGAAGCTTGGCTTCAAAAACTTTACACAGCTCGTGTTAGGTCAGAGAAACAGACCTTGACTAGTGCAAAGCTAGATTGCACTATCTTTCTCACGAGGCAGATATCTTTGCCTAACATGGGGGGGGGCATTTCCTTGTTGGGTCGACAACACGCAACTCCCCAGAAGGGACGTGTACCTTTTTTCTTCGCCCTGGGGAAGGCGCACATCTTTTCTAAGATGCGTGATGCAATTCCTAACCTACAATCACTCTACCAGCGCTCTAGGTTTATTTTCGATGAACCTTCCTAGTCATCGAATGCGTCACTTCGTTATAGGGTGTGTTAGACTTTCAACGTAAATTATCAGCTGGGCGCTGTCGTGCAACGGAGAATAGTTGCGCTAGAGAGAAAGATAACTTGTTTGCTGCTCCTTCACGACACGGTGGTTCAAGATACACTACATATGAATGCTTTGGCCACCGTGCGAGTCCACTAACGGCCGTGGTGGGGGAGGAAAG